AGCGGTTCAAAACCGTAATTAAGATGCAGACCATTCCACCAGTATGCGATGAAAACTGGGAGTTTGTGTAGCTTACACCCCTCATATGGACAAGTGGTATCATTCTATACAGTGAGGCCATACAAAACATTAGAGCAGAACATGAACCTTGATTCACAGAAGTGGAGTCACGGAAGTAACTAACTGATGAAAATAATGGGGATAGAATTCGCAGTACTACCAGCCAGTGCTCACGACTCAGTGACAGCCACCTGGTGTTGAAAAATGCTTTAGTGTATATGTGTGTAATGATTAAAATACACTTGGACTAAAGTTGAGACATGAACTGTAACGGAAAAATGAGCCGAAAATCCCCCTGACCACCCTATTTGACAGTATTGACATTTATTTTAATATTTTTACCCTCGTTAGGGATAGTGTGCCTTTGACCCTAGCCGGTTTAATGTTATTTGGTTGTTTTACCGTCCTCTTTGACTTTTCACCCAGTATTTGCCTTCGCAGGATTGAGACTCATCACAAAATGTTTCACTCTCCTATTATGTGACCCTGAGCTGTTGACAACGTGACGTCGTTTTACTGCGCCCGACATTATGTTCTGGTTCAACCTGCGGTTGTGCTGTGATTTGGCCGTTTATCTCTCGACTGTCCAATGGAAACGCTTATCTGTTGATTTGATTCTGTTGGACAGAGTTTTTATCCTCTTTTGTCGGGATTATTCTTATGACTCAACGGGACCATTGAGTACCATAGATTTTGTTACGAATCTACCAGGGTTTTACTACCAACCATGTTTTGATATTTCGATCCGACCTTTGACAGTGCGTCGCTCTTGGAAGTTTGGAAGCTGGACAATAGAACACAGGGACTATTCAGATTCGCGTTAGTTGCCACCGCCTAGTTATTTCCCCTGTTAAGGCCAAGATCATTGGATTTTGGCTGTTACACGCACTTTTATACATGCTATCAATGCATTGTCCAGTTATTCTGGTGTAACTGTCATACAAATGCTTATTTCAATAAACCAACCTGAGGTATAAATTGAGCAGTTTATAGATCTTATGCCTGTGCGAATTTTACAGCTCATCCACTCTCTGTATGAAAGTGATTATCTTTCCTGCTGACTTATTAAACGTCTAAATCCTGAAGAGAGACAATCGAATTTTTTGGTTTAGTTTTACTTACTACTTAGAGCTTGAAATTTTCGCCAGACTCTGTAATGAACCATACAGTTTTTCTGCATAACGTATGCGGTTCTACCCTCCAACAGACGTTGAATCAATTTGCAACAACTTGATATTTGTTTGCTCACGCTATCTACATCTTATGCCGTGGTCTTTTGTTCAAGCCGAAGATTGTGAATACATGTAAAAATTTAATGAGGCAACCATACTTGCACTAAGTTTCACACATGGTTCACAATAACTATTGAGTTAATATTCGTAAACTGTTGTACATTCTGGAATAAATTATTACCATTTACATATTGCTTTAATGAATCACTTCAGCTTTTTCTCGCATTTCCAAGCCCCTAACGAGCTGCGGTTGCTTACAGGACGCAAAATTCGTGCCCGGACTCCCGTTTCAGCCTTATTAGTTGGAATTTGCATTGCTTTTACCCCTTTCCACTAATCGTGGACGAACTTGTTGTCCAGCTATAAAGCGTTACTGCCATGAGAGCTTTACTCGTGATGAAATCGTCCGGCTTCCTCAGGTCTTTGATGTGGTAGTTGACGGTAAGAGGGTCGAAAGGACTTCCGATAGCTAGTTCTGTGCACACAGCAAGCAGAGACTTGCTAAGTGCTTCGATCAGCAAAGAGTCCCGGACAGGTCAACCTTCGGTAAGAAACAGAATGCGTATACCAGCTGCTAATCTGAAGAAGCTGGAGGATCAAGTGCACCACACTGATTCCCCACCAGCTCACCCTTAAATCTGGCGAAATTATGCCGGAATCTGTTAAGATTCACATTAGGGGCCTAGCCCTAAGCACGCTAAAAACGTTATAAGTTATCTGTGTTTGCTGGGCAGTTTGTCTGAAGGAACGGGGTTTGGGTTTTCTCCGCAAATATCACGTTTAACTATGGTCAAAATTCCAGAACTATGCCCTTCCATAATAATATAGTGGCACATTCCTGAATATACGGCCAAATACCACTTTTACAGGTGTGAACAAATTTGTAGGCAAATTACGTGATATTCTAGGGCAAGTAATTTTAATTGTTGGCATGTTTTGTTGCATGTCGATGGAACGCAGGAAGCCGACAAAGTAAGATTGTGCTCACCGACATCATGAGAAATTGGAAGCATTGCCTTCACACTAACAAAAGGTCGGGGTTTAAACTTGGGTACTAAAAAGGCCGCTTGCAGAAAAATAAAGCTCGAAGTTAATACTTAAGTTATGTTTGTCATATTTTGCTTTTTACTTGCGGTAAATGCCTGCCCAAGAACATGTTAATGCAGTTTTCTGTAACGAAGGGAACCCAGGTATCTTGTTCCGAATGCGGGAAATGGTTAAACGAAACCAAAATGATGCAATCCAGACAAGTTATTGCGTCCTTATGTATAGCTTCCCAAACCTCGTGGAGTCACGCACAGTCAAAAATTGTGTTTCAACAATATCAAGAGACGCGGTAAATATGCGATAGATTTGTGGTGGATCTGTAGCACTAGTAAACGACAGCCAGCTATATCAAAATTGACGAAAGCACCTCAAGAGTGTCACTATACAGTCCAAAGATTTCCGTGGCACGGAATACCTTCCATACGGGAAGAAACTGACTAACCAAATATAGTTATCGGATACCTGGGAATCGATAACAACGTTTCCAACAAAATAGGATCAAAACTCTATCTGCAAGAATGAAACAAATAAGTCAACCTTCCTGACAGACAGTTAGAAGACAAGCAGTCATTTTGCGGTGCAACCTTTAGTTGGACCAAACAAAATGTCGGGGACAGTAAAACAACGCCATACAGCCTACAGTCCAGCATCACACCATAGCAAAGTGAAGCATTAAGGACAATTCCCAATCAAACGGAAGATAATTAATGGGTGTTAAGTCAAAGGAGACGGAGAAAAGACAAAATAATATTACATCCGTTGGTGTTGGAGAATCATATAAATAATGAGGGTGAAAATATTGAAATGAATGTCAGTACTGTAAACAGAGTGCTCAGCCGGAATTTTCAAATCATTTACTCCGTTAAATTCTTCGTTTGCTCTTCTTTGGTGAGTGCAGAACTATGGATTTTATTTATTCTAGCACCATTTACCGCCAGGGGTTGATAATCTTACTGAATATTGCTGTTGAAAGCCAAGTATCTGCTTTTTCAGTTTCATTATGCAAACACCAGATGTGTTTCGTGAGAAGAGGCCGGTAATGGCCTTTTATCGGGGATTTTTCCATGACGCAAAGGCTGTTTGCCACGCTGAATGGTATTGCATTACCATCATTGGCGATGTCAATTGTGCTTATTTCTTCTGGTACATTGAAAAGCTCGGTGTGGGTGGCCTAAACAGTTGGCTCCCCTAGATATGAAGTTTGCGCAATGATATGGATTATTGGTGACGCCATTAAGAAATTTACCAGCATGGGCAACTGACGTTAGTGTAATTGATCAATCACTTCAGTGGGCTGAAGTGTATTTCTGCACTTTGACAAGTCCTGAATGAAAAATTTGAAGCCGACAACCTAGATTGTTGCCCCTTCTTAACTCGACTTCCTTCACCTCAACACCAGTCAAGCCAGCCTCTTTCAGAGGGGTTCTTATGCTTGGCTAAGTGCAGCTATCCCCGGTTCAAGTTGTTTTCAGTCAGACAAAGGAAGTTTGGAGTCCTCTTGAATATTTTTTCAGATGGCTACGTTCCTCTCAGAAGGGTAACAGGTATCCTCAAGACCTTGTCACTAGTAGCGATGTTGATCACCTGAATGTGCAGAGCTTCTTTGTGTTGTAGGGCCTAGAAAACTTTTGTTTTCTCTTATGCAGACCTTCGACATGTCAACGCCGTCACAGGATATCCAGATAGGCAGTGCCGCAAGAAAGACCTTGTTACTGTAGTCAAACCGATCAACCTGATGACCATTTCAAGGCAAAACTACTGATTTCAGTGCTTGCGTTTCCCCCAGAGAAACAGCATGTCATAACTGTCTGCATCATTTAAGAAAGTGTGTGATGGCAGGCACGCAAATTAAAATCATGTAGATGCACCAACCACGGCATCGTTCCCGATAGGCTGATCTCAAAATGTCCCTAAGGCAACCCCACAATTAAAGGACACACAGTTAGGGGATTTCAAGAGCCTTTGTTGCTTCAATGCCATCATATGCTGAGTTAAAAAAGTGAATAAAAAGTCTTCCCCAAAGCAGTCATAGTCCTCAAATCCGATGAAACTTTATGCCTAAGAGATACGGTTTGAAAAAAGTTTTGTGTAGTTACCAACTGGAATCAAGACAGCAATAATTTTCTCAACACCGGCGGCTTTCTGAGAACCTGCCAACAACATACGCTGGTAGCAATTAAGCTTGTGGTTATCCGCCTGTCTGTTGACCCATCCTAGCATTCTAGTTATCGGCTATACCCCATTCATATTACTACATGTAACATCGTTATTCTCCATTAGTAATCTTCAACCTTCTCTTTTTCGCTCCCTATCCAGTCTTTTGAGTTGATTTTACAGTAACGCTTACTTACCTGAAGATACCTGGGCACACCAGAAGTTCAAAATTTTCAATAATCCTAACGGTAGCTCTCTTGCTCTTTCAAACAAATCAGGCTACAGTTTGCAGAAAAGAGGACCGTCAAACAGACAGCCAATTCTTCCGAAAATATAGGTAAATAAATGAAAAGACTTTGGTGACCGTCAAAAGAGGGCAACCGAACAATAGGTACCGGTGATTCAATATCTAGCATCATCAAATATTAATAGTACGAGTAATGGAAAAGTGTAGTTCCTAAAATCTCTCTTCTAGGTCTTGAAGCTCGCTTTTTTATGTTTAGTTACACTCCTTCAGTAGTCACAGAATTTAAAAAGCAAAAGTTTTCTCCACTCGCACTGTTGATGTTGGATGTTGTTTAAAGTTGGCAGATTTTGGATGCACTTGTTGCCGTCTTTTCAAACCCTGGTCAATTTCTCGTGGTTGACGGCTAACGCATTACAATGTCATCTAGATTCTGTGCAGGTGCACTCATATTAGAAGACGGAACAGTATACAATGGAGTTTTGTCAGGAGCTAAAATTCCTCAGTCTGGAGAGGTGGTTTTTCAAACAGGGATGGTGGGTTATGTAGAGTCTTTGACCGATCCATCATATCATGCCCAATTACTGGTACTTACCTACCCTTCAATTGGTAAGGTATGGAATTCATTTTTCACTCTTCAGGTAATTATGGTGTTCCATCGCATGAGGAAGTTGATGAATACCATTTACCCAAGTGGTTTGAATCTGGCCGAATACATGCCCGGGGGATTGTCGTTTCTGATATTTGTGAAGAATTTTCCCACTTTGCGGCTGTTAAGTCGCTTAGTCAGTGGTTATGCGAAAACGGTGTTACATGTATAAGCAGCATCGATACAAGATCCTTAACCCTAAAACTCAGACAACATGGTGTGTTAACTTTTGCTTATTTATTTCATCCCTTTCAGGTACCCTTCTTGGGAAAATTGTCCCTCTCTCAACTGATCCTGAATCTGTTGATTGGTTTGATCCTTCTCAACATAATTTGGTCTCGAAAGTAAGCCGAGACAGTGTAGAGGTTTTCAACGTGAATGGTGATGTCCACATAGCTGCTCTTGACTGTGGGATGAAGTTAAACCAGATTCGTTGCTTTGTTAAAAGGGGTGCAAAGGTAAGTCTTTTCGTTTCTTCACGAAAAATCAGAATCCCTGTTTCAAAACTTTGCTGCTTTATTCCTTCGCCGCCATATATCTGGCAACTATTCCGTTACAGAAGTCACCTAACGTTACAGAAGTATACATGAGTTATATGGGAATAATATTGGCTGTGTATGTGTTCACTATCATAGTCTTTCATATCACTGTCTTTATATAAAGACTTACTGTTCATCTCACTTAATGTTTGCCAGTGAACAGGCCGACCTGTGTGATGGCTACTTAGTCTTGACATATTTTATGATCTATATCACTGAGTAGGTTAACTAGGGCTTAAGAATAGCTTTCACTTAACTGGATTTTATAAAACATGTATATGTCGGTTTGATAACCTTGTATATTCTTTACTATACGGAAGAACTCAAGCGGTTGGTTCATGCTGCATAAATATGTAAGTCATTGAAATCATACTCTTAGAAGTGTTAAGTGTTTGCAGGTGTCACCAGTCATTCACATCTAAATATCACACTTCACAGAAAAGCAAAACTGGGATAATAATGCATCTTTGTAAGGGTAGAAGAAAACTAGATATGGTCACTCGTACATCTAGTAATGTGTCAGATCGCTATTATACCTTTTGAAATTTGGCTAAGAGACGAATAGCTGGTTTTGTATTGGTTGTATTCACCAAAGATATGACCTAATATACTCAGTTTGAGTCACTGTTAATACACTGCTTTGGTTTAGGTAGAATTCTATTTATTAGAGATTAGAGGTTCATATTTAGGTGTTCATATGTATTTGTGGCACTGAATAAGCACTGATATTGTCACAGAGTGCCGCGTATATCGCAAAATTCTGAATAAATAAAAATAATCAATTCTTTTTTTGAAGAATGCTGTGGCTGAGCTTGCCTAATCGACAACCCATCTCTTCGAGGTATTTAAATTTGTCTTAACATCATAGGGATATATCTCTAAACTGGTTCGACACCGCCCAAATCTGGGCTGTTTACTAAGCCTTTATGGTATATGATAGTTACCGGTTACTGACACGTGGCAGAAGATGGCAACCATAGGTCTCTTCCAGATATCCTGTTTCCTCATTATTTCGGAGAAATATTAGCAAAGGACTATAATACTTATGAGAAGACTCACGATATAGAATTATCCGACACTGACATATGTACAAAATTTGTTGCTTACCAACATTTTAAATATTGAGCACGTACCCCAATCCTACCTATGTTCTTGTACTACCACAAATTTTGATCATCAATCAAAGATACGAGGACGTCAGTGTAATAGTTAGATTAGTTATGACCATTGAGTGAGCTCTAGAGAAGCCTGGAGACGTTTTCGAAACCAGGCCAGCGTTTCAGAACATTCAGCTCCTTCCATTTATTACAATTGTTTTGTCACGTTCCGCATTTTTTGTTTTTCCTTGATGATAATGTGTTATGACACAAGATAAGATCAAAGAATTCGATGGTGGAAGAAATATCCAGTGCTTGAAGAGCCTAAAATTATCAAGTTATGCACAGCAGTATTGGTCACGGGGTCGATTTCTACATGGGACTATGGATTTTTTGTTGAAGGCAATAAAAATGTAGGTACCCTTTATCAGCCTACTACTTAAGTTCGTGATTCCGCGACTTGAAACTATAACAGATTGTGACCTGATTGATTGACCTAAATATACGACTTTCAAGCGGTAGATTTCAAAGTCAAATTCTGCTCTTTCTTTTAAGGAACCTCACAAAATCATTTCGCTTGACAAAATAAATGGAGCCCATAAATTATTACTTGAATACGTCTACCGCGTTGGGTTGCAGTATTGTTACTATTACTGTTGTTAGTTTCCGTCCCTAATTTTATTTTTAAAAATCATTTCAACTGAAGATGAAGTGGCTGGTAACTTAATCCGTTCTCATTTGAGTCATTATTTGGATCAGGTAAACCTTAGCGGATATAGCACGAGTTATAGGTACAAAGCTGTTCGTTCATGCTTCACTTATATTGATTGGAGAACGTATTCTCTGTATTATGAATCCATACACTGTAAGATATAAACATTCAGACTGTTACTGTTATCATGTCAAAATGAAGGTACACGGATTTGGTAATTTTTTTACCTAATTTCTTATATCTTATTGTGATGAGGTTTGCTGCATTGTATGTGATTATTTATCAAGATTTCTGAAACTCTTTGGTAGCCTGTTTTAAAAGAAATAAAAATCTTCACAATTCCAGCTTCATAATCATAGAGTTTCGTCTATAGGTTACAGTTTTACCCTGGTCAACTGATTTGTCGAAGACTGGAGAGAGTTATGACGCACTATTTATCAGCAACGGTCCTGGAGATCCTATTCAATGTAAAGGTGTTGTTAATCAAATCCGAAAGTGGATGACTACGAAAAAGCCATTGTTTGGTATTTGCTTGGGTCATCAGTTAGTTGCTCTAGCCTCTGGTTTCGAAACATACAAAATGAAGTATGGTAATAGAGGTCATAACCAACCTTGTATTCACTTACCTACAGGACGCTGTTTTATAACTAGTCAGGTGAGTTTATCTATTTCATGTAGTAAAAATGAATTGAATTGTTTATTGAATCTCATCGAAAGAACATTAGTCTATTGAAGAAGGGTATGTAGTGGATTATTTATATATTGATTGGTCACGAGAAAGCAACCAATTTTGTGTTGCCTAGTCCTGAGTTCAGACCAAATCCTATCGATCACATTTGCAATGTGACGCGGGTTCTAACCTCAGGTGGGACACCAGTCCTGTTAAGGTTGCAGATACGCCTTGCTGACGAGTTCCAAAAAGCACGAAACCTAGATCCAGGGCTTCCTGCCAATTGTCTCCAACCAACTAACATCTGCCAATATGCGCCGCGATGCTAAGCCTACTAGCTTGGTGGCCACATTACAAATATGATCTATAGGATTCGGTCTGTACTCAGGACTAGACACCACGAAATTTGTTGCTCTCCCATGACCAATCAATAAACTTTATAACTTCTTTGATACCTGCGTTTGTTTTGGCAGTTACTCTTCCTGTTATTACTTTATGTCTAGTTGCTTTCCCTTTGTGTCAGTATGAAAATGAAACACTCGCATCCTAACATTAAGTGGAACAATCAATGCGTACAGGTTCTACATGTCAAACAAAGTCAATGATATTTCTGAAACTGATAGTCAAATCCCTTTACATCTCGGTAAAACTAATTCATATTTCATTGATTTGACTTATCAAGCTGTAACACATGGAGCAAACTCCATATCGATTTTAACAAGTTCCTGGTTTTTAATAATTGTCAAATTTAGAAACCATTTAGTTCGGAAGCCTATCTATCTTTTTTAAGTCCTTACTTTCTTAAAGTTCCCTACATTATGAGATATTCAGCTAACAATTTTTGAGATTCAGTAGAGAAGACTATAAACTGAAGTCGTAAATGATAACTTTTCCAAATACTGTCTGCAAAATAACTTTCACTATTCTTCACATGAAATTAGCTGCTGTTGGTAGTTTTATTCAACGGTGGTGCTTGACTCGTAGTCTCTCAAACATGTACCTTCAGTAAGTCCTTCCAAAACTTAAATTTGAAAAATATTTTTATCTTATGAGTGAGTATGGTATTCACACTTACTTTTTGTTGCTGTTATTGTTTTATTCTATGAGAATCATGGATATGCAGTTGATACTAATAGCGTTCCAGAGGGTTGGTACGAACTGTTCCAAAACAAAAATGATCACTCAAATGAGGGTCTTGCTCATCATCACTATCCATGGCTGACGGTTCAGTTTCACCCCGAACATATGGCCGGACCAACTGACTTGGAATTTCTGTTCGACGTTTTCATTAGTCATGTAAGTTTTGAAACAAAGTGGATACTTCTCACATAGTTTCGTTTGTTTTATCTGTATATCCAAGCAGATAATATCCATGCTTTCTTTCAAATGTTATTTCAGGTCAGGTCGCCTGATGGGCAGAGTCTTAGCGACCGTTTAACAAAACATATAAGTTATGAACAGGAAGCATTCGAAAAAGTGCTCTGCAATAAAGACAACAAACCAAGAAAGGTTCTCCTTCTTGGTTCCGGTGGTTTATCAATTGGTCAGGCTGGAGAATTTGATTATTCTGGTAGTCAGGCCCTCAAAGCTCTTCGAGAAGAGGGAGTTCAGACGCTGCTGGTGAATCCAAATATCGCTACTGTGCAAACTACCGAGGGAATGGCTGATAAGGTCAGACATTTAAAGTATTTCAATTTATTTTTCAATATCACTTCACGCGTCCCGAAATCCTTGATCAAATCTAGTTGCACAAAATAGACCCCTTTCCAAATAGTGTGATTCCGCTTATGACTGTGGCTTATTTTGTTATTCAGAGTGGACGTCTGAATACTCTTACGTTTTTTCGTACATACTCGACGGTTGCTTGTTGGCGAAACAGACCAAGGCTTTGAAGAAGGTTTTTTCTGATCATCTGTTTACCACTTAAAACCACTTCAAAATAAAAAACCAGGCCCGTTTTCTAGCTGCATTTATATATTTCGGAGATTAATTTGGGTTTTTACCTCCTATGTTCTTAGAAATGATCAAGAGCGTATATATTTATGCATCTGCATATTGGGGGAGTCCAAAGATTTTTACTGACGTGGAACTGCTAATCCATGTAGTGTTTTTCCAACTTTTGCACCTATAATTCTTTTTTAAAGGTATCACATGGTGAAGCAATGTTATTTACTGATGATTTAGGCAGAATTTATTGCACATGATCCAGTCAAAGTGGCACAAGTTGATTTACATTCTTGCCTGATAAATTTCATGAATCTCATCATTTACTGACCAAAAACCAATACCATACACTAGGGTACTTGACTACCGTCTTCAGTATAGTACATTCATCTCTAACTCTGATCCAATAATGTTGTAGACACAAGTTTCTACATTTCCTAAACTCATTAGAAATATTGTAATAAACCTTAATATTGAACTGAACTAATCCGTTTAAAATGATTGCCACCAATATGGTTACTGATGTTCTACCCAATCACTGATTTCTCACCACACTTTTGGGGTCTTAGAGACAGCTTACAAATCTCACCACTTAAGTCACCAATAGCTAAAGAAAGCCAAGATGACAAACTGAAGTTTTCTTGACGGAATAGTTTGTTCAAATAGCTTTGAAGGTAGACTAACATAAGGTAGCCCTTCTAGAAAAGTACAGAGTCTACAAGCATTAGAATATCACGCTACAAGGTCTGAAATAACATGAGTGCTTGACTGCCCACTGTAGGTTAGACCATCTAAACTAAAGTTATAGAGGTTATCAGAGATTACTGAAAGTCCATTGAGGTGAAGTCTGTTGATTGTTTTGGAGAGTTTCTGAACATTTTAGTTCACCATCGTCATAATCAACGTCCGAGATCACTAAGGTACCGTCACTGACCAAAGAACATTTAAAGAACTCATAGTTTAGTTTACGAACATGCACATGCACATCAGAGGGTGACTTATTTTTTTCAGATTGGAAAAGTTATGGTTAGGAATAGTAAGGATACTGTTAGGAGTTATGACTCAAACACTAAGATGAACATTGTATTCAGAATAACAGCGGTGGTACGAAGAGTACCTAGTAAACATACCTATCAAATGTTTTACCACTGAATACCATCAAATAGCATTGCTATCTAGATTTTCAAAGGCACAAATGTTTATAAAGATCCTGGTATTTAACATAACTATTATCATGAAGTTTGAGAGTACGAAACTGTAGAAATCTGTAATATTTTCAATAGTAGACGGAAGTAATCAGAAATAAAGGAGTATTTATTATCCTACTTCTTGACACATTTATCAAATGAACTATTCAGTTACTCACTAATCAATGAATTAGCCAGTTGCTAGTATTCTTCAAGGTGACTGAAATTAAACGCATGGGAGAAATATTAAAGTCTGCATACTGTCTCATAACATTAAACTTACTGGTTGGCAAACATAATAGGTAATATTTGCTGAAGATGGCGTTTATTATGGTCGTAATATGTGTTATTATGAGAAATAAGTTTGCTGAGTCTGAGAGATGGTGTCAAAAAGTAAGTTTTTAATGGTACATGCAGTTTACTTATGACTTCGATAACTTTCTGGACTCCAGCAAGCGGATATGCTAGTAGTTATCCAAATTTGTGTGTATATTCGAATAATATGTGAGTACTCAGTTTTTGAATACACCCCATATTACGGTATTTCGGATATTTAATACCCTGGTCTTTGGTTTATTTTGCTGTTTGTCATCCTAGGCAAGTAGTGTATTCAGCTTTATGTATTCTAAAGTTGCAGACTGTGTAACCTGCATTATGACTATTTCAAATTAGTTTAAACTTCAAGCCGTCGTAATTTTGAGCATCTTATTGGTTTGTATAGATGCTCCGAGTGTTGAGTTGTAGTTGTGTTCTTTAAGCAGTTGATTTTCAGCTAATACATTGCGTGTTGCAATAATATTTCATGAATTAATGGATTCACTTACCTCTCTTTCTACCTTTCCCATATATGTGTAGTTGATCTTTTTGTTTGGCTAAATAGCCTGTAGTTGTAGTCAGATTACATATCATTCACACAACACAGGCCCGAAATATCAGATCAACCATAATTTAGTTATTTATCGCCAAGTTCATATGTGCATGTCCTCTGTTATTGTGCTTAAAATATGTAGCACAAAAGTTATTTTACGCAAATTTGAGGAGCTATAAATGCCTAAACAACTTTAAAGTATCATTATAAGAAGTGAAATGCATTTTTAAAGAACCCTTCGATTGATCTTCAAGAGTATAGAAAAACTTAATGGCTAGTTTGGAACACTTGGTGTTTTTTTTACCTTCGCTGTTGTTATTTGTCTGTCATTATGCATTTAAAGAGCGACATTACACGTTGGCTTCTTCATACTATATTACTGACAATTTCGATTACTCAATCACATTTTGGCAAGATGATGCGTTTTGTTATATATGCTCATTTGTGATCTTCATGTAAGAACCTTGCTTTATGGCTTTGCTTGTTAGTGAATCATCTAATGTACTTTTCATCGTTTTCAAAAAAGTAAATGAAATAATTTCTTTGAAACTTGTCAGATATTTTATACATATACTGCAAACTTTTGACTATATTTATAAATTGCTTACTATTTAAATTCATAATAGATATTTCTTCTTCCTGTTGCACCGGACGCTGTTGCTCGTATCATAAAAGCTGAACGGCCTGATGGACTTTTAATTGGTTTCGGTGGCCAAACTAGTCTTACATGTGGTCTTGCTCTAACGAAAACGAGTCCAAGTTTTTTAATCCCAGACCTGAAAGATGAACATTCAAAGGCTGAAAATGTTTTGGACTTATATAATTGTCGAATCTTGGGTACTTCTACATCTGCGGTTGAAATAACTGAAGACAGAGAATTATTTGCATCAGCGATGCGAGCTATAGGCGAAAAAGTGGCCCCAGCAAATGCAGCAACCTCAGTACAGGTTCGTTTTACTTACACAATTTTCACTACTTAAGGTAAAAATGTCAAGAGAGATTCTTGTAATGGTGGAGAATATTTGTAGCTCAGGCGGATTATCTTGGTTGTATTATGTTTTCTTGTGTCTTCTAACTAGCATCCAATCTCTATAATACATGTTTTTTTGTAGGATGCTGTCATGGTGGGCAATGATCTTGGTTACCCAGTTCTTGTACGAGCAGCCTTTACATTAGGTGGTATGGGATCTGGATTTGCTGAAAATGAGACGGAACTCGAACGATTAGCCACAAGAGCTTTGGCACAAACGACTCAAATTTTCATCGATAAATCTTTAAAGGGGTGGAAAGAAATTGAGTACGAGGTTAGTTATTTAGTCTATTTTTTTAAAATCATACCTAAATAGTCATAAACACTTAGAATTATCTTCACCGATACTGCATCACAATGATTACTAACCTTAGCGTTTTATATTTAGGTTATACGTGATGCCTACGACAATTGTATCACAGTTTGTAATATGGAGAATGTTGATCCAGTGGGCATTCATACTGGAGAATCTATTGTTGTTTCACCAAGTCAAACACTCTCAAATGTTGAATATTATATGTTGCGATCTGTTGCGATCAAGGTGAGCACCTTAATCATTACTATGACCTATTGAAATATGTCGTAGTTAAAGTTTTTAATTTCGATTTGAATTTTATATTGGTTTTAGTTTTAAGTGTAACCTATTTTCAGTTAATTTATTAGGTGTATCACACAATAAGATATCTAATAAATCAAATGGAATGGAATTACATCCTAACCCCGAAGGCTTGGCATTTGCTAACCTGCATCATCTCTGGCAGCAGTGAGATACCCGACTACCTATTAAAGGATGAGTATACTGTACTGCAGTTCGTCTTTTCCTGTTATACTATTGTGAGACATGGCCGCTAGAAGTAGAAGATATGAAGAGACAAAGGGTTTTTGACTACAGATATCTCGGTAGCATTGCTGACGTAAGGTGAAATGACTGTGTAAGCACTGTCAGGGTTAGGCGAAGAGTATTGGCCATGGAAGGGAAGGCCATCAATAAGGTTGTTAACCTTCAGAAACTGAGACGGTTTGGACATGTGTTGTGCACATCGAGTCACCGCCTACCTCGATGCGCTGTGACTCATTGGTTTACGGAGGTGACTTTCAACAAATGGCTCACGCATTAGAACCCTTTACCACCTGTCGAAATTTAGACGGCTCGGTAGTATCATTAGCCCGTATGTAATAAGTGTGGCTCACGGCTGCTGTGCGAGTATGCACGAAGTTGCTGAGCGGATTTCGATTCGTCGTGCAGTGCTATCAGAATTCTAACTAAGTTGGAGAAAGGCTTAGGGTGGCCAGATCAAGATATGATACCAGTCTATGAATTCTCTGACTGTAGGTCTGAGCCATGCAGGAAGGTGTATACTACCTGGTTGGGGTCCCTGAGACCATACTAATCAATGATTGGAGGCTCTTAGTGACATGATAAACATCTGTCAAAATGATGCAGATAAATTCACTCTGACATTTAATGCTCTAACATTTTCACTAGCCTTCATTTTCAAATTCCTCCTCCTCCCATATACCTTTGTCTACTGTGATATCGGTCTTTTTCTATCCACTTGTTGTTTGCATGCTACCATGAAGTGCGACAGCTGGAACCGATGCAACTGTGTACAGGTTCTACGTGAGTTCTGTCTTCCTTCGCTAGTCCCCTTATATTCCTTTCTTTTCATTACTTGATTTTCAATCTAATAGGACCGTTTAATCTTTCATGAAGCCGTTTTTGTATGAATCACTTTTAGCATTCCCGGTATGTTATACGAATAATAACAACGACTTTTCATCCTTCATGCATTTACATTTTTTGTTTTCCAAGGTCGCTCGTCATCTACGGATTGTTGGTGAATGCAATATTCAATTTGCACTGGACCCACATTCTCTGAATTACTACATTATTGAAGTGAACGCTCGTCTTTCTAGAAGTTCTGCACTTGCCAGCAAAGCTACAGGTTATCCTTTAGCCTATGTAGCTGCTAAACTAAGTTTGGGAATGAGTCTACCTGAACTTACGAATATTGTAACTGGTGGTCTTACCACAGCATGTTTTGAACCAAGTTTAGATTACTGCGTTATAAAAATTCCACGTTGGGATTTAAGCAAATTTTCCAGAGTGAGTTATCTTCATTATCATTTGCCTTCTTTTGAAAATTTACCTTATGGCAGGGATTTATTTACCTAACTCTTTTGCATTTATAAATTACTCTATTCCGATTATTCTTTTTTTAAAATTTTAACGATTGGCGGGTCAGTGCTGTCTATTTACCTCATTATTTAATACTGTTGTATTTTGAGTGTAATATCGGAAAGGTGTGCTTCAACAATATACGTAATCTACTATTTACCATCAGTTTACTGTTTTAGACCAATTCCCACTCGAACGTGTTTCAGCAAATGCAAAATGGGATTTACGATAGAGTAACTCTATGGGTCACCCTTACAACTACTAAAATCTCCAATCAGGCTTCTGTATTTGCTATTATTATTATTATTATTATTATTATTATTATTATTATTATTTGTCCCTTCGGTTCCTAGTGGGACATAGGGTTTCAGTAGTACGTCTCCGTTTCACTCTGTTTACTGTATTTTCTAGGTAAAATAAAAAAAATCTGATTGGTTATTTCAGTAGCTGGGAACGTACACTTTAGCCTCACTGTGACCACCACAATAGTCATTCTGTTTATTATCTAATAAGTAAGTTTGTAACACTGTCACTGAGTTGCAAATTGGTGTTTCATCAAAATAATTCAGAAGTTTTGAACAAATCCCTAAATGAATAAGTGTATAAATCTGTTACCGGCTGCATCAGCAGTATTGGTTACTGCTATACTTCTCGAACTACGCTAAATCCACGTTAGACTAACTTTCATAGAGCAGTCCGAGTTTCCAATTTGTGGTCTATTTTGACAGTCGATGGGTTGCTGGTATCGACTCAGCCTAGCCTCCCAACGTTTGGGCATGTTTCTTTTAGGTACATGAATTCTATCTTCACTCTATGAGAGGCTTGAACAGTATAGTAAGTATTTCATGCAAAAAATAATTTTTATCACCAAAGGTATACCTTGCGTGTGAAACCTGGTTGTTTTACTTTGATAGCGTTCAGCATCTTACGGCATTTTCCTTACCTTATATTGTTGGCGTTTCGTAGAATCAGTATCTAGGCGATAATGAGTTATGGCCGTTCATACCCGTGTCCCGAAGATGGTTATGCAGCCAATAAAGTTATAATAAATGGTCTAATTCGAAGCTTAACTTGTACGCATACAATCACAAGGTCTTTTGCATTGAGCAGTGTTTATGGATGATAAGAATAGAAGAATGACGTGAACAAGTTATCAGTTTATGGCAGTTTACTTTGCATTCGATTAAGGCTTGTTAGTGCATACTTATTTGATAGATGAAGTCTTAAAAACACCATCAGGTAAAACTCAAAATAGAAACTAGTGGCAATCTTGTAGTATTTCTTTAGTTAACCGTTGAAATAAACTATAAAATGTAAAACAATGAAAAATGAATTCTACTTCTCTTACGTTTTTGCTTAGACTAGTCCTCCCTATTATTGTTATTATTATTATTATTATCATCATTGTTATTATATTTGATTTCTCTTTCCTTGCTCCATATCTTTACACAGTTTTCGTTTCATTTTTTCTCATTTCTTGATACTTGAAACAATAATGATGCTGTAACCGTGTGAATTTTTTCCTTGTGAACTGATGTTGGTTTATTGATCACAAAATAAGTGTCATTGAACTTGGGGTATTTTACAAGTATCTCCAGAAGGTTGATTTTAGTGATAACCATCTCATGCTCTATACATGTACATGTGATAGAAATGTTACTGGTAAATTCTCTTTGCTGAAGAGACATTTTGTTTTAAAAAAATAATGTCCTTCTCTATCCATTTAAGGTAAGTCGTAAAATTGGGAGTTCCATGAAGAGTGTTGGTGAAGTAATGGCTATAGCTCGCTGTTTCGAAGAAGCTTTACAAAAAGCTCTTAGAATGACAAATGAAAGCATTCCTGGATTTGATGGTCTACTCGAACTTCCTAATGATGATACCCTATCGGAACCTACCGATCTTCGGATTTACACACTAGCTGCTGCTCTTCGTTCTGGGTGGTCAGTTGATCGTCTCTACGCACTAACATTCATAGATCCGTGGTTTTTATATCGAATGCGTGCCATTGTCAACTGTGCAAAAGAATTGGAATCAGTAAGCTGTAAACTAATTTAATACTCTCTGAAAAATATAGATTTTCTTTGTTATTTGTCTGATTTATCAGTTTTTCATCTTGAATCGCAAAAAAAATATCACTGAACTGGATAATTATTTTATTTTTAGTACATATTCTTGACTGAAAAAAGTTGTTAATTAGTTTTTTTTAAACGTTACTCAAGCACAGCTATTTGTATTAGACAGCCAAGTGTATATCATTTGAAAAATAATCCAACTTCTTTGCACTTTGTACTAAGTATTTGACAACGTTTCATCACTGTGGTAACTTACGTAGTAATGCTAGGTCCTGTGCTAACATTATCTATCTATAGTAGTTTTCTCTGTAACTAATACAACAACAAATGGAATTTAAAGTGTTTTTACGATTGTGCTCGTTTTCATAGCAAAAACTAGTTGTTTCTTTAATAATAATCACTTTATTCCAGAAAATAATTTTTAATACAGGGTGGAATTCTCCGTGTGACATTTCAACAGACTTACTTCTTGTAAAAAATTCTCAAATTAAATAATCATAGTAGTTAAGCAGTGTTAATAATAATGTTCTGATAAGGAAAAATACACAACTTCCTGTTGTTTTTAGGTTATCGTCTAGTTTGTGGACCTTGTTACACAGGGGGAAGAACAGAAAAGCACCCGTAAGTTTGATGATAGATAGTTATTCAGCCAACATAAAAATTTGCAGTTCCTAACTATCCCTGTAACAGTTAGGTGATAAACTGCTGTGAGACCAAGACCCCTCTGCCATCTGCCATAATATTAATTTTGTAATTTCATTGGTAACCTGTGCGGCGATAAGTTGGAGATATTTTAAAAGCGTGCCAGAAAACGTTTCCCGATTTGCTGACATTTGAACAATTAAAACAAGTACAAAAGGAGTAATTTGCTGTAACTTATACGATGGAAACCTATTGGTAGCCCAAAATTTTAAGCAGCCTGCTGTAAATTTATGAAAAGTCGATTAACTTTTACTCATAGATGTGCAAATGACAATCCATGGTATTTTTTCATTCTATCTCATTTCTGAATTTAACAGTTCTTACTGTGCGATAAGCTTCTGAGAGCGGTGCGATGTTAATGAGATTACTCTGTTCCATATGCCTAATCCAAGTGAATGTAATAATTGGAAAAGTAACTACAATATAATTATCTTCACTTTTTCGACCAGTGTAATAGTTATCTATTGTTGATGTACTGATATATTTTCGGCTTCTCTTATAACTAATTATTCGAAGCACAATTTACATTTTTTTACTTTTGAATGCTGTATGAATGACAAGAAAATATCCTTTTTAACGTACATTTTTGCCCATGTTTGACTTATCTGAACCGTGCACGGAGGTGTAGGCTGCCTGTCTGAAGCCCTCGAGATGATAGAAATCAATCATTGGAGAATCTTGGTGATGTGGCTCAAAGTCGATCACAACACCAAGCGGATATAGACTTTTTGTCATATCCGAAGTCTTAAATACTTTCATCAATCTTCATATATTGATCTTTTCAACTTTCCTAACATTTTGTTTACTTTAATTTCACTTTTTTGATCCACCTCTTCTTTATATCCTACCGTAAACTATGCGACTTTAATCGATGCACTTTTGTGTCAAGCCCTGCTTTGATTTATCTATCATATTGCCCATAAGGCTAACCAATAATCTTTTCTTGTCAATTTTAAAATATTCTTGCCCTAATATTGTAACATGTGAGATGGAATCAATGAACTGGTGTATGATCAAATGAATCGAGATTGGGTGATGCATATTTGTGCTGTAAATTTCCTTCCGTTGATTATTTCGTTTGACTTACTAGTGTACAAGCGAAGGATGAATATGCCTGCTGAACGTTACGGAAATTTACATAACTTGTAAGCGAGTCGGATTGTGGTTTGATGGTCTAGACACTGAACTTTCAGTTAACGGAATACAGATTCGTAACTCACCCCACCTTCTGCGGTCTAGACAGTCAGGTGGTACCATCAGCCATCACACAACAGGTATGGTTCACTGCATACTGAACGATTTTGAATGTAGTCATTGTGTACTATTCGTTTTCCATTTATTTTCTAAAATAAGTTTTGACTGAGTAACTAAATTAATTTTCAAGCTGGCTAATAGATACGTTAGCTAACTTTCGTCTTGCTTACTGACATAACTCTTATATTGTCATTACTGAGATTTTAGCAGAGTTGTAGAAACAAAATATGCAGATTTACTAAGGTGTTAATGGTACCATTATCTGTACACAAATTGATACCATTTATCAGTTAAAATTACTGAGTACTATAACATAATCAAATATTCAGTTTTTTTAGAAATATCTGAAATTAAAATCCTTCTTCTCGAATCACAGTACTCATGATATCTTACCAAGAAGTTGAGAAATATAAAAGGGAGTATCTTTGATTTTGTAAAATTGATTTTTTTTGGTGTTGTTGATGACTTTCAGTTTCATGAAGGAGCTTTCGCTAATGACATGAAGGTTCTAGAGTCAATACAGACCACTGTTCCGGATAAAAGCTCTTTAGATACTTTAATTCGGCACACTGAAAAGGTCATGACTTCGAAACGCCTTGGTTTTAGTGATATCCAGTTGGCTCGTGCTTTGCGTTCAACAGCCGTTATGGTTCGTTTGTTTCGTCGGCACCTGAATTTAATCCCATTGGTTCGTTTAGTCGATACTGTGGCAGGCGAATGGCCCGCATCTACGAATTACCTGTACACAACTTATGCAGATGTCCCACTAGGCAATATTCACCATTTGCTTCAATCCTTTGTTGACCGTCAAGCTGAAGGTTCATCATCACAAATGGTAGACCTCTTGCTGAAATGTATGAATACAAACAAAATTCACGACGTTCCAACTGAACCAAAGTGTAAGTCCCTTCCTTTATCAGCTTTATTGCATTTCCTTTGTTTCAAATCAATTTTCGTTGGCATCAACTGTACATGATGACTCAATATATTTTGTGACCGACTGTCTCCGGATGTAATGCTTATCGAGCAACTATTCGTTGTCTAGTCTGATATGACACCCACAAAAGAGTTATTTTTGATGAATAGTGTTCAAATAAAATAATCAACAGTTCGATTGGTTTTATATGTTCATCTTCATTTTTAAGTTGTGTAAAACTTACCTCATTCTCTCTGAAACATGTATAAACACGATGATATTATTTCTAGATACCCTTATTACATAAAGTGTAATGTAATTAGGGAAGAAGTTCCTTTACATGCACTTATCGATATTCGGCCATTATGTCAGGGAAATATTTCAGATCATCCTACTAAATTGACTGAATGGACATTGTGATGCAAAAATAACAGCTTGAAACCTTTTACACGTATGCATCGTTTCAGTTTGTCGCACTTCATATTCTACGATATTCGTCAGAATCAATTTGTTTGAAAATTACATTTGAACGACATCACTATTGGAAGCGTAGAGGTAGATCAGTGTAAAGCACTTATGTCTTAATGGTATAAGAATTTGTATAGGAACCTTTGTGTTACGTTCTTAAATCCGTTTCACGCAACTCAACCTTTACAACCAAGTGTTTTCGTAAGTTCTCGGATTTCTAATCTCTTTAAGAGCCCAGTACAAAAATTTTCATGAAGCACGCTTGTGAAAGAAGCTGCTCAAAAAAGTGTTTAAAACAGCATTTAGGAATGAAATAAATTCATATTTCTCACATTTTGTTACGATTATGCTGTTCAGTTTTATTATAGGAACAATACGTGTAAAAGCAACCCAACCTCTGTAGAAACAAGTAATATCACCTACGAATATGAATCCTCGAATGTATTTTGATGCTTGATTAACCCAAAAAATTCCTTGGACGTCTAACTGTAACATGAAGAGGGTAACACTGAAGGTGAATAAGAGACCTATACTGAATATCAACGTCTTAAGCTTCAGATTATACGTCTTCAGCGTTAAGGCAGTGAACACTGTAGCTATAAAAACCCTGCTGGAGCTAAAAAGAAATTTTATTGCAATATGCGCGAAGTATATGAGGTGAAAATAAAATGTCTCAATTAACAACTGGGTTAATTTAGCTTTTTGTAGAAGAGCGCATAAAAGATAAACGAATATATTTTGTTTAATCGTGTAATACCAATGCAGCAGGTAACCTTTCTGCATCTGTAATGCTTGTTTTACATTAATAATTTACTTTCCAGCCAGTATTATGGTACTGGGATCTGGAGTATATCGTATTGGCTCCAGTGTCGAGTTCGATTGGTGTGCGGTAGGTTGCGTCAGAGAACTTCGTCGTTTGGGATGGAAAACTGTTATAATCAACTGTAATCCTGAGACTGTATCAACTGACTTCGACATGTGTGACCGACTATATTTTGACGAATTGTCACTTGAACGTGTCCTGGATATATACGAGTAAGACATATATAAATATATATATTCATCAGGTAACTGTTTCACTTCACCATAATGTTTTCAGATAGTTGTGAGAAAGGAATGGTGCCTTATTTCGTTCTGTCACCAGGCAATTGACTATTTGTAAAGAGTTTCTGATGATACTTTACTGACTCACTAATATTCTTTTGATGAAAAACTATAATGAATGACAATCCGTGTTGTAGAATATTTAGAACATTACCTATCAACATACTTCATATTTTAGGGGTCCTGTTTGTTTTGAACTTTACTGTAAACATCCTTGTGACTTAATCTACAGTGCTATCAGATCTTGTGTAACAGACCGTTTTCATAGTTATCACTTTTTTCACTATCCTGATTTTTCTTTGACTTTCATAGTCCTAATTCTTGAAACACGAAACAATTTTTTTAAATAGTTAGTTTTTCTGTAAGTCATAAATTCCAATTAGCAAAATGACTGTCAGATATTTGAAGAACTCTTATTTTAGTGAAAACAAATCTGTTGGCGACAAATGTTGGTGATCTTCAATTACATATTCCATTCATAAACAAAAACACATCTATGCACAAACTTTTGTCTCTTTTAGAATCACTGTTTAATCCACTTCTTCTTTACATGCTGCTATGAAGTGCGGTAACTCAAACCGATGCACTTCTGTCCCAGATCCTACGTTGATTTGCCTATCAGTCCTTTAGGAACGTCATATAGATATTATAACTTTTGGTCTCAACTCTGTTTTCAGATTCTAATACCACAGCCGTTTTGTGAATAATCACTTTAAGCTCCTGCTTTGTTCATCCAAATGCCTTTTGAATAATCATTTCAATAGAAAAAATACCGATGTAGAGTATGAACTGTGCTGAATTCGTTTGCGCAGATTAGGTTTTATCATTTCCACACACAAAATTTGAAAATTTTGATGAAATTTCATCTGTTTTTGAGGTTTTGTGGATTTTAGTTATCAAACTGTCCCGTTCACCCAACTAGGTTTTTGATGCTATTGCTCTGTCCCACTCTTTTGTGCGGTTGTGTGCAGTCGAATGTATAGCTGTAGCCAAGCTTTTCTCAAGACTTATTATTTTGTTGCGATCTACCAATCTTGTTTTAACCAAGTATTTTGTCGTGAGGACAGTTACTCAATGATGACATTGGGTGGCGGTTGCGCTATATCGTGAGCTAACGGAAGTTTAAAAAATGGACCATTGGATTCTGACCCAGTGGTTCAATGGTGACGCGCTGGCCGCGGAACCTGAAGGTCGCGGGTTTGATCCCCGGTGGGGTCATGGGTGCGCACTGCTGAGAAGTCCCATACTAGGACGGAACAGCTGTCCAGTGCTCCCAGGTTTCCTTTGTTCCTCCAACTAATTTCAGTCTACGATGAATAATAACTTCAAGTATTTTGTGCCCAAACGGCCTAATTGACTCTGGTCGACTGCATTCATCTACTTACTTGACCTTGTGATCATTACAAGAAGCTAAATTATTTTGCCTGATTGGATCAATAGGATCACAATATGCACTTTTGTGGGTTTGCTAAATTCGTGCGACACTTTATATCTCTTATTTCATTGCTTTTCATTACATATTGCATAAATATATGTTATGGACTATTTTTTATGTCAACTTCACTTTAAGGTTCGAATGTCCTATTGGTGTTATAGTGAGTATGGGTGGACAAACACCGAACAATATAGCCATGTCGATGCATCGTCTAGGAGTACCTATTCTTGGCACCAGTGCCGAATCAATTGATAATGCTGAAAATCGTTTCAAGTTTTCTCGTTTGTTAGATTTTATGGGAATATCGCAGCCCAGATGGAAGGAACTAACTGATATAGATTCAGCTAAAGCTTTCTGTGATGAGGTAAGTATTTTATTGTGTTCTATTCCAGTTTTTTCATGATTTATCTAACCATTGAGTACACTGGTACAATAGATCACATCATTCTCACTGTTTCGATTAAGTTCTTCGGTAGTTTCTACGTCTCCACTATAGTCAGGTAAACTTATATTTTCCTGAAGAACTTATGCATTTCTGGAAACTCAGAAAAGTCGATATTCACTGTTATTCATAATAATAAACGTATATAGGCATATAACTTGAGCACTGTGGTAGATTATAATTCCATTTTAGTCTGTTTATCAGAAATGCCAGTAAATTATGTCCGAAACGCAAGTGATGCTGTTTCACTGTGTGACATTCCCAATAAATAGATTAAAATAATGAACTACTTACACATTTAAAATACTGTATTATCAGCATGCCAATATTTACGCTTGTTACTACAACCTGTTGTATCGCATCGGCAATTGACTAGATAAAACTTATCAGTTCAGAGATATTACCGATTGACAATTTCTACTCGAGAAGTGAGGGGTTTTGACCTAATAAGTGAGTGGGTAATATCCTGCTTCTTTAAGCATTGAGAAAAATTTTAAAGCCTTGGTTGGAAAATGAAAAATGACTCCGAGGTAATCAGATATAACAATTAGTATGACAATTTGCATTACACTTAGTAGGACAATTCATTCAAATGTTTATGTAGAAGGATATTATCACCATAAATAGAAATGTTGTGACACCTAGTATGTGAGGTTTCGTGATAAGACACTTTTATACGGTGTGGAAAATGTAGATAGTATGAACAGACTTGACCGATGCAAGATATCGAAAGAAATCTTCATCAATTAGTAGACAATAGAGCTATGACCTTGATCATTTAGATTGTTGCCACTTACACTTTTCTGTTTTAATCCACAGGTTGGTTATCCGTGTCTTATTCGACCAAGTTATGTGTTATCTGGTGCTGCTATGAATGTAGCAAATGATCATGATCAATTAATCACATACTTGTCTGCTGCAAAAAATATTAGTCCAGAACACCCAGTTGTTATAAGTCAATTTGTTTTGGATGCCAAAGAAATTGATGTTGATGCTGTTGCACAGTCAGGTCGTCTTGTGGCTATGGCTGTCTCTGAGCACGTGGAGAATGCTGGTGTTCATTCCGGTGATGCAACACTTGTCACACCTCCTCAAGACCTGAATGAGGAAACTCTGAAACTTATCAAGAAACTAGTTAGAGCTTTGGCAGACGAACTTGAAGTTTCTGGTCCATTTAATCTACAACTTCTTGCTAAAGACAATCGTCTTCAGATCATAGAAGCAAACCTAAGGGTTTCTCGTTCCTTTCCTTTTGTATCGAAAACACTAAAGTATGACTTTATTGCAGCTGCTACACGAGCAATACTTGGGGCATCGCGTGACTCAATATATCCCCCAAATGAAGCACATGGTTTAAAGGTGGAAAGACTATCCTCCTCTAAATCTTTTCTTGAGCCATCTGTTGATATTTTGGAAAATGCTACGGGGTTTGTTGGTGTAAAGGTATGTTTAATTTGAAGAGCCATTTTGTGTCATACCAGATTTTCCTTCCCTGAACAACCAGAAAACAAACTTTGAATATTTTAGTTTCATGAATACACTTCTTGTTGTAGTAGTAGCACTTCAAAAGCCGTGAGAAAAGTGTTAAATAAGTAATAATTTTAGTTATAATCAAGCTGATTTGTATGAAATTATTACATTCATCAGTAAGCAACTAACAGAATCTAAAGCATTCATTTTAAAAATCCACCAACATATCAAAACAAAGTATAAGATAGCATGAAATATAGTCCTAGCAAGCTTTTTTTGTTTCATACATTCATGTCTAAACTATGAACACATTTATGCATCCAAGGTTCCGGTGTTCTCTTTCGCACGCCTTTTGGGTGCTGATGTCTTGCTTGGTGTTGAAATGGTCAGTACTGGTGAAGTGGCATGTTTTGGTGTTGATCGCTATGAAGCCTACCTGCTAGCACAAGCTGCTGCATTATGCAACACAAATGGTCGTCTACCGAAACCAGGCGACAATATATTCTTGTCTATAGGCAGTTACCGTCACAAGTTGGAAATGCTATCAAGGTTAGTGCAATTATTTAAATCATTCGTTCTAACAGCCTTGTGATTGAGCTCACCTTCATTAAAAAATAAAAGCGGAAACAGAACATTGCACAAAAGTACATTGTTTCATGTTGCAACACTTCAGAAAAGTAACAAAAAAGATGTCCAACAAAAGAGACTGAATGGAAGTAAAAAAAATTTTGGTTTAAGATCTTGTTTTAGAAAGTTTAATCATAGAATGGTGATCAAAATAGTTCGACAGTGTCTCTGACCCAGTCTAACAGTTAAAGAAGGAAGAAAAGGAAACTCAACAAAGCCAGATGGGTTTGATACCTAAATGGTTGTATATTGGTGAAATCCTAGTGCTTTAAATAGTACGTGAATACATGTATAGCGACGGACATCCAGAAAGTGTCATATTTTCTGACCATTTTAATCAGCGAATGGGAGGGTTTCTCGAAATATTTTACTATTAAAATATCAGTGAATAAGCATATCATGTTAACAATGGCTATACTTGAAGTCATTGACTTATCTTACAACTCATAAAACGTCTTCTACTCACTTATCAACCAACAACAGCGTTTTTCAATGAGCTATGTTTTTATGGTTCCCACATATTTTGTTATGGATATTGATACAGATAATTCTCTCTGCTTCTGAGTTTGCAAGAGTGCACCAACTGCAGTCCTCACATGACACTGATATCTTTTGTAATGACACCGGGATCTTCTCGATACTTTAAACAAATATTTGGAAATATGTTATGATGTGGAGTTGTGAGAATGAACGAAAATACTTAATGATTGATGGTCGAGGGTTGAGGCTATGCAACCCGGGTGATTAGCAAAGAGAAACCAGATAAGTTTATAGTATCTCGGACTGAAGCGTTTATGAGTAAAAACTGACCCTATTTACAGAGTTTACAATAACCTTGAAAGACAAGGAATCAGTACATTTAAAGAGTCAGGAGCCAATCAGAACAATAACAGGTCATACGAAATATGACCCATACGCGGGAAAAAGGCGCGAATAAACGGTTCAAATATATACAAAACTGTAAGTATGGAATATAAAGGATATCGGCATCCCTAACAAAATATTTGACACGCGCTTCATATTTGCTAAATACTCAACAAATGGTATACTCTAACATCTAGTTCACGGATACAGAGCAAATTGGTTTATTTACTCAGCTGTTTCATTTTTTAAAGAAGTTTCATCAACCCTCAAGTAGTAGTTGTTAACGAAATTCCAGTACATGTTAAACAGAATTGCTTGACTGTTTACACCTTGTTGAAGATACTTGATTGCAGCTCGAAAGGCGAATACAACGTTCAGTAAAGTTCGAGGTTTTGACTTGCTATCTGAAGATCAAGTGCCCAGCTTATTCTTCAGCAATAAATGACCAACTGTTTTTATATGTAATTTATAGGGTTAGTTGTATATTTACTTACGTCCATTTCACCTCATCTTGTTGCCATTTGACTATTATTTGGTTCTAATCCTTTAAGGTCCTCTTATATCATTTACTAACTACATTTTCTTTCACGAATTAAGACTTCTTTTTCTTCTCTTTAGTGTCAAGCAGTTATACCACTTAGGATATAAATTATATGGAAGTTTTGGCACGGCTGACTTCTACCAAACTCAAGGCATTTCGATTGTTCCCGTTGAGTGGCCTTACGAAGAATCAGACTTCAACTCTTCTGACAATAAGTGAGCTTATTTCCCGTAAACGTGTTCCAGTTGTTTGGTTTTTGTTACCAGATGGGAACATTTGTTGAGGATAAATTGACCAGAAATTGTGAATCGACACTTCTGTGTAGACTGATATTTATATATCATTTTTACAATAGAAATCTTGTAGGTTGTTTATTGTTCAACTTTATCCTTTGTTTCATCTAAAATCCAGTAGTTCCTTATTTTAATCAATTCATCGTAGAGTTCAAAATACCGTGGAAATCAACTCAAAAGAAGGTACAATGCAGCAGTATCTTAAGGATAAACTATTCTCCTTGATTATTAGTTTATCATTGCGAAAGATGGGATCTCGACGTCCTTCTGCTTTCTTTACTCGAGGTAATTCATACAATTTCCAAAACTACTTTACAGTGTATTACTTTTTACTGTTGTCCGTCTAGGATATGTTTTCACTCTGTTCTTATATAATTTCGTCATAGACGTGCTATGGAGACATCCCTCGCTTCATTTGACTTTGAAGGGATTGATCTTATAACAGGAGATTCCTTAGTATACGTAGTGTGCTCAGATAGATAACATAGTCCCCATGAACGAAGATGTTGACAAAAGGCAACGTCTTCTGGGAAAATTGTAAGATGTGTTTTACCATCTAAATGAAAATTTTTGCTCCAGGAATTGTCTGTCTCTGTGCCTCGTCTAAAAATAGCAAGTGAAGTCATTGAGTGCATTGACCACTTTACTTGCTTGGAAATTCAGATCAGCTCTGGTGACTCAGTGACCGATGCAGTCTCAATAGAGATACAAAAGGCTAACAAGAAATTTAGCTACGATTAGTGAGCACGAAAAGCTTAAGAGATACATTATCCTAAATGGTTAGATGCTTGTGTCTTCTCTATTAAATCACCTTAGAATTCGATGGCGTATCAACTGCTTGAACTCTCCATCACTTTTGTGGTTCGAACACTCATTCCTAGAATTTTTTAATATTTTCACTCCTGATCTTTGATTAAACTGTTTATCGTATCGATAAATCTTTGCGTGGATGTGGTGTATTTTGATAATTCTTCCACTGAAGAAATTTCAAATCGGCTGTAGTTTTTGAAGAAACTTTAAGTTTGTGAATTTTTGGTAGTGTACATAAATGAAATGCTGCACAATATTATACAGCAAGTAGTCTTTGAAACGGGATAAATTTACGCTTTCCTTCATCATAAAAGTATTCTTGTATCCATTTCATTTTGTTTCACTTGTTCTTTTAACAGTTCTTGACTTAACATCTTAATGCAAAAATTCCCATTTAGACATTTAGTAAAACAAACAATGTGAGCGAAGAAATATTTCTTTTCAATTAGTTCCTCATCAATGGCTCTACACTAATATAGCATTTTCAAACTTAAAATTACATACCAATCTAGTGGTGAGAGTTGTTCAGTGAAAGGTTATCAATCTCAAAGTTTCAAGAAGGTGATAATTGGTCAGGTAATTAATTCATGGCTAAGTAAGGGGGAAACCAGACTGACACGAAGCTCAATACTCTCTCATCTGATTGACACCGGCCACCGAGTTAACATTCATAATGCCTTTAAAGTTATTTATCACATTCCCTCTCACCTCACCCATCCTCTACGAGTCCGTCTTTTACATACAGCAGAAGCCATAGGAATCCGCCTACACAAGCCAAGTCTGTGTGTTCAGAAGAGATTCGTACAGCCTCTTTCTTTGCCTTGGCCATCTGTATAGCTCATTTATTACAACAAGACTCTTCATTTCATCCACCACACAATTCACTATAACTAGTATTTCAATAGCTCCATTATTATTATTATCATTATTATTATTATTATTATTATTATTATTATTATTAGGATTATTATTATTACAGACTTAATCATCTTTGTCTCCCCCTACTGTCTCTAATTACCGTCAACAATTTACCATTTTACGTAACAGTTCATTTTTGCTCTTTAGTTATCATTATATAAAATATCAATTGTGTAAGAACCTGTTCGCAAAATCTTTCTACGATAATTAATCTTTGCTTTAGCTGTCTTAATTACCTGACCAATTATCACCTTCTTGAAACTTTGAGATTGATAACTTTTCACTGAACAACTCTCACCACTAGATTGGTATGTAATTTTAAGTTTGAAAATGCTATATTAGTGTAGAGCCATTGATGAGGAACTAATTGAAAAGAAATATTTCTTCGCTCATATTGTTTGTTTTAACATCTTAAGACTGAATAATCAACAATTTCCATTTTCGCTATTTCGACCTTCATGGATGCTAGTTCGGCGTAAAATTTGAATATGCAAAGTCTTTTAGGTGATATGAAAAAGCACTTTTCATGTAATATTCAATTATTATGTGTCAAAAAACTTTTTTTATAGATCCAGTCATAAAATTCTGTTTTATTCGATGAATGTTTAGAGCCTGTTTAAAATGCAAAAGCTTTATTTTATGACACTTTTTAATTTTTCAAATTATGCAGGTTACCAAACAAGACGCCTTGCTATTGATACAAATGTTCCTCTTCTTACCGATGTAAAACTGGCAAAGCTGCTTGCTGAAGCCCTTTATCGCTTTTTCCGTGGACAACGGGTGGAGCGAACAACAGCCCAGTCTGAGAATAATGAATACAATTCGCATAGACAGTCATTCTTACACCGTTTACTTCCTCTACATTCAATAACTTCAAGTCAAATAATTTATTTACCAGGGTTAATCGATGTTCACGTTCACACCAGGTAACATTCACTATATCAACCATTACTATCCAGTATATTTTCATTAGCTGATAACTGTATAGTGGGCTAGAAGTATTCACAAGATTGTTTTATTCATAAGAGTTATAGGTGTCAATAATTGGCACATTAACTGAGGTTGCGAATCTTCAGTGACATGCATTTCACATGTTGAGCCACCGCCTACCTCTATGTGCAGTGCTTTCAGAATTTAGATTAAGCTGGAGAAAGATTTAGGGTGACCAGACCAAGACATGATATCAGTCTATGAAATTTCTGACTGTGAGTTTGAGTTGTGTAGGGAGGCATAGACTACCTGATTGGGAACCTCGAGATCATACTTATCGATAGTTGGAGGCTCTTAGTGACATGGTAAACATCTGTCAAGATGATGTAACCAAATTTACTCTCTGATATCTATCTAATGCTCAAACATTTTCACTAGCCTTCATTTTCAAATCCCTACAAGTGTACACTGTGAAAAGTCTTTTCACACATATAGAATCTTAGCAATAGTCTTGTATCGAACAAACCTGCAATCAAATATGAAAAACTTGTCAGTATTATTTGTCTTAATTCACTTCTTCACACAAAGTTGACACTTTGAGCATATCCGTGGTAAGCACAAATGCAAAATACTTCTAAGGCTATTTACCGTAAATATTCTGTAGTGCCATCACTGCATGCTTAGCGATTCATCCAGTATCGCTAGCATACAAATTCTGCCGTTAGATAAAAGAGAACATCCACTAGACGAAGAAAGAAATTAGACAGTAGTTAGTACCCAGCTAATCACCTTTGTATGGTGGCTGACTGAATAACGATTTAAGTGCCACTGCAGTTACAGTAAATAGTTGTATCAAACTGCCTATGGAGATCTCATAATAATCACTTCACAAATCAAGTAAAATTCTACTAATGGTTCACTTTGAAATGAGAACATGAAAATCTTTTCGAAATTAGGTTTATGTGGAAGTTACTGTTCCATAGTTTAGTCGGTAACTACTCTGACAACCATAGTTTCAGTCAAATAAATGCCAATGTGAAGTCCTCAAAAGTTTTAGTGGTAAAAAGCTATCTTCACATGTTATTCATTTGGCCTACCTCTTGCTAATAAGTTGTAAAGTACATATTGTTTGTCATGACGCTATCTCAAGCTGGTTAAATTAGTGTTTTGAACAGATATTTGATAGGTTTCAGACATGAGTTCATAAAGCATTGGATGGAAGTAGGTCAATCTGTCTGGTAGTTGACATAAACAGATTACTGATTCAACTTACATAAAATCACATTTCCGAAGTTATTTTTGTTTCGTAGATTTTGTAAAGAAATGCTGACCGGATATACTGGACTCAACCAATATTATTACTGCATTATTGCCAAACAGTCCAAGCCACCCCACGTCATATTAAAATACAAAACAGCAAGGCAAAAAACAAAAAAGTTAAAAGGTACCATCAAAGATCGTTGAAAGTTGCAAAAATAAAGACCTACAGGGTCCGACTGCTTACCAGATTTTTATTTGATCTCAATCACCAAACCACGACTATTTCAGATAGTTAAAAATGATAATTAATATCATGCTCCTCCTCTCTAATTTTGTTATATTTCGATTGGGATGAGAAGTCCTGACTAGGCAGCCAGTCTGAATACGATCAAGCAATAGTAACGCATCACGAATTCGCATGATAGTCCGGCAAAATCCTTTGTGATTAAAGTGAAATAAAAATCTGGTCAGCGGTCGAACTTCGTAGCTCAGTTGGTAGAGCATCGGGCTGGAAACCCGGTGGTAGCTGGTTCGAATCTGACCGTGGCCCAGATTTTAGTTCCACCTTAAATCACTGCCCAGTATAAATACTAGTCTGCCAAACCACAGATATCTCAGATAGTCAAAATGCTAACAAATAAAGTGGTAGAAAAATGAAATGTAACGTGAAGGTTTAGAAAAACTGAGTGTGAATGTACCCACGCCAGTGTGGTAGGTTTCTGAATCACGTCGCCTTTAGTCTCCAACCAGATAATACTGACATATCGTAATTAAATATCAATGATTTTCTCAACCAAGAAAAGTCTCCATGACAAGCTGTATATAAAGAATACTATGCAAAGACTCGGTAATAGCCTTGTTTATTTGAAACATTTAGTCTCCTTAATAAATTCAAATAACGTAATGAGAAGACTGAGATTATTTGAAACATGCGATGTATTGGCGCTACACATTTCGAACAATCTATTCACTCATGAACTTTTTGAATAATTTATATAAAGCTTAGAAAGGTTAGTTAAGAAAGATAACAACGGCAGAACGAAAACAAGAGAGGAAAACATAATAATAAAAGGTCAAATCACCGCCACCAATAGTTTGAAGAGTTGAACTTAATACTACCAGAGTGGGTTTAGTGTAAGTACAAATTATTTCTGAATACATAGAAGGGGTTTGAATTTATGGATAGCAAGTGCTTCGATGAATCTAAGTATTCGTCCTTGACTATATCTATGCAGTACAGTAAAGGCTATCTTCATATCAATCTTATGACCGGTTTCTAATAGCATTTTGCGGTAGATGAGGACGTAAGTTTGTCCGCTGTTAGAAGTCATTTGTTTCTGGAGCCATTTAGGTACATGTTCAGTCATTCTTAACTGCATGTCACAATTGCTTCTTCCTATTTATGTGTCCACACATACATGTAAATTGATAGACACAATGGGATGTGATACACTCGTTCAGATGTTGTTTAGGTTTGTGTTAAAGCATGGACTTTGTCTTCACTAAGATGGTCTTGGATGCGTGGTATGTCGTGCTAACAGCTGATCTGAGCTTTTTCTTCAAGATTAGGTTATTCGATTCACTCCTGTATGCCAATGTGATGTACACATTTTTCTTAGGGACTGAATGAATCGGTGTCAGTGTTATGCCGATTTTACATCTGTTAATAAATTTTAATGGATATCCATTTTGCACTTATATGTGTCAGGAATTTTGCTTCTAAACCCAGGTTTATGGTGTGTAGATCAGTATTTGGTGTTTTCTCATCACTTACATCTCTAAATAGAGTGTAAATTAGGGAGAAAATATGCAATTTCGGATACTTTGTAATCTCTCCACCTTTATGTAATACTGTGATTGCGTTTTCTCATTCATTTCTTAAACTGCTCAGAGATCCTGGAATGGAGTACAAAGAGGACTGGACATCTGTCACTAAAGCTGCTCTTGCCGGTGGTATAGTGACTATTTTAGCTATGCCAAATACAAATCCAGCGGCAGTTGATGAAGCCAGTTTTAATATAGTGAGTGAGCATGCGGCGTCTAGAGCGTGTTGTGATTATGGTCTTTTTGTTGGTGCATCATCTGAAAATGCTTTTACAATAAACTCTCTTTCTCGTAAAGCTATTGGACTCAAGATGTATCTGAATGAAACATTTACTTGCTTGTCACTAGCTAACAAACTAAATATTTGGCGTCAGCATTTCGAAGTAAGTCAGAAGTAATAAGACATTTTGTTTAATTCTGTTGCTACTATAACTGTTTGTGATTGATTTTAATACAAGCTATAATCCGCATTATGTCGGCAAATTTGATTGATGCAACTCAACCCGGCACATGCCACTCGCAAATGCAAATTGTTAATTCTTTAACGCTACTTCACCTTGTTTGATATCTTTCTTCGATTCATTTGTTCTTTGGGTACTACTGTGAAGTGTGGCAACTTGGACCGATGGACCTGTGTGAGATGTTCTACGTTGATTTTATTAGTCAACCAGTGTAATGAAAACCGCAATCCTGATATTTTTATTATTCGAATTAACCCACGATGAATTTACATGTTGATTTTGAGGAGTCCATGATAAAGTAATCTGTAACTTTGTGTTGATATAGTAGTCAAATGTCTACAATTTCAAATGTTTAAAGTTCTTGTTTTTACCATTTATGTGATCATGATTGATTAGATAAGAAGGAGGAAAATAGTAGTTTCACTCCGATTCAACAAAACTTGTTCTCTGAGTGACATTGTGGCATCCATAATAATTTTTAAATTAAAAATGGTTTTCTAGCTTTCATATTCAAAGTGCTATAATTGAAAGAAGGAACGGATCGCAGTATTGCCTATGGGTAGGAAATCTGCACAGCTTTTCATAAGTTTTGTCCTCTAGAAGTTGTGAGGATAACTTGACCAGCGCTTCCTTTCTTAATGACAACCTGGTCACCGATAGAAGTCATTATCGGTGGAGCACAAGTATCGAAATCATCCAAAGTACGTGCATGTCGCATGCAATTCAGCTTTTCTGAAGGTCATAGGAAAATAATCAAGTATACCAGTGTCATACCATCATCTTGAAAAATTCGGTCAACTAAAACTTTTTTCACATAGAATAGCCTCGTTGACCGAATCACGTATTTTCAAAAACAAAATCATAGCCGGTGCATGATTCCGAAAGTTTACGGTTTTATTAAATTCCATAATTGTTTAATCTCCTTCCACGAAATGATCAAATTATAGTCTACCTTGAAAAATGATAGATGTAAACAGAATCATCATTGATTAAAGTGGTCACCATCTGTATGGGACTTGAATATTACCCTGAGAGCAAAATATCAGATTCATACCCTTAGGAAAAGTCTTTCTATCAAGATCGAAACGTTGGAGAATAATGTAAAATATCTATATTTTTTTTCAAAAATACTACGTCGGAGATATGCAGATGAAATATGCTTTAGGCAATGAATTACAAGCCGTTGCCAAAGTTTTTCCAAACAGTTTATTACCTCCATCCAACTAACGTCTATCAAAGTGCAACCCAATGTTCATTAAACTGGCCTGATGACCACACTGCAAAATGATCTATAGGATTCGATCAGCACTTGGAACTAGACAATGTGAAGTTGGTTACTCTTCAGTGACCAATCAGTGCCCCCAATCCAGTCCTATAGGAGGTCAGTCGCAGCCTGAATAGCTCAGTGGTAACGACTGACTGCAGCATCGGGTAACGCGGGTTTGAATCTCAGGTCGGACATCAGTTCCCTTGGGTTTACAGATACGCCTTGCTGACGAGCACCAGAAAGCACGAAACCTGGGTCCAGGGCTTCCTACCGATTGCCTCCATCCAACTAACAATTCATTATATTGTTAGCTTGGACGAGTAAGTCAAGTCAATTTGGAACTTAGTTACACCCAAACAGTTTACTCCCTCGTTTATCCATACGCACATGAACATTATGCTACCAATGAAATGTTACAGCATGAAAAAGATGTGGATACGATTAGAAAATGCTTCTTGATGAAGTCAAATGAGATTTCACCTTAGCATTATACTATTGTCTTCCTAGAAAATTTAATTCAACTCCAACATTTGTATATATACTAATGTATGGGCCATATTTATTGTGTGGGGACTTTCGGTACTACTTGGTTGTCCAAGTCGAAGTAGGTGAGGTAGGGTTCGAGTCTCAGACTCGTCACTTGAAAGTTAGGTTCTTAAGCCAATGTTTTAAAGCCGAAAAAACAGAAACCGATCGCAGATGAAAATTAAACGATGATAATTTGGTTAAAAAAAATATAACAGTGATAATTATTCACAGAAGTCATTGCACAGATTACTAATTCTACAGATCCAGATTACCAAAAGTCGAAGTTTCTCGAAAATTTCCTATCATTCTACGTATGAAACTGAGTTTAGCATGATCACCGTTGTATATTCTACATCTGGTCATGTACCAGAGTACTGTGTAGGGATACTTTGCATCAAAAGTAAGCGTCATTTTACATTAAAATTTTCTCTAGTAAAATATTTCGATTGACGCGAACGGAATATGAAGTGTAGACAGCAGAAGCTTAATTGAACACAATAAGATAATAAAACAGAATTTTCAGTCTCTATTTCAAATTGGCATATTTTTTTTAAAGAATAATTTAGACGTACGTGACTTTCTAATTTTATGTAATCTGTGAAATATTTTCACTGAAAATAATCAATGCATACCTTTAACAAGAGTTAAGTTTTCCATGACACATCATTTGGCGTAGATAAGAAAGAAAAATAATGTAATTCACCTTTAAACTTTTACTCTGTCTGGTATTTCAGTTCTTCTTAATCAATCCATTTTATTTGTTTATGAAATAATAAAAAACTACAAATTGAAGGTTATATTATTTTACTGAGTCGCACTGTATGTAGTTGGGTTTACATGAATGACAAAATTATAAACTGTGAGCTAACAGAAGTTGGAAATATGGAGCGTTGGATTCTGACCCAGTGGTTCAATGGTAACGCGCTGGCCGCGGAACCTGAAGGTCGCGGGTTCGACCCCTGCTGGTGGGGTCGTGGGTGCGCACTGCTGAGGAGTCCCATACTAGGATAAAATGGCTGTCCAGTGCTCCCAGGTTTCCTTTGTTCCTCCAACTGATGTCAGTCTTCGATGAATAACAACTTGAAAAATTATAAACTGTTTTGATTTCTAACGCTTTCAGTAAAAATCTATGCACACTTTTCTTACTGCTGCATTTACTGTTACTCTTGTTCTGATTTACTTCTTCTCCTTTCATTCTTAAGAATTGGCCAACGGATCGTCCAATTTGTTGTCATGCCGAAGGAGAAACTGTTGCAGCTGTGATTTTGTTAGCTGAACTCACTGGTCGTAGTGTGCATATTTGTCATGTTGCACGTAGAGCTGAAATTGAATTAATCCGTGATGCTAAACGACGTGGTTTAAAAGTTACCTGTGAAGTCTGTCCACATCATTTATTTCTAACTGTAGATGATTTACCTCAAAAGGGAGGTTGGAGTAAGTTCATCTTTTTCAATGACAATGAAAATCAAATTATCTTTCCGATACTTCCATTGGTATTCTGAGGGTAAATTTAACACGTGAAAGAACCTCAGTAGTAGCTATTAGTTCGATATATACATTTCTCTATGCGTGAAAAACAATCATGTTTTATTTCTCATTCATTGGAGTATACAAATATCAAAATGATGAATATAATTTACTCTGTGCTCAATTTTTTTCAAATCTTCAGGTTTGAAATTGGTTTGTGTATGTATAAACCTAAGTAATATGTAAAGTAATTTAACTTTTTAACGCATATAGATGCTTTTTTTATCAGTACATTCCTAATAACTTCTATCAAGGTCCTTTTATCAACAATTTTACAAGTTTTGGCACGTCACTGTTTTCTACTATTTAAAGAGTTTCACACTAACTTAAGCAAATTTTAACCTTTTCTATGGAAAGCAATTTAATCAAGCTCTACTATTACATATTGATCTCCATATCTCATTATTTCATCCAAGTAAAATACTACAGTCTGAAGTCCGTTTTAAAGTCATCACTAACGATTCTTGTCAATTAGCCTCTGTTGACTAAGTCATCACCTGAAAAATAAAGATAAAAATACTTGTTACGTACTACAAGTATGCTCTAATTAAAACTCGAAATTTTTACTTATCCGTCTAGAAAACAATGAGGAGTGTATTTCCGAAGAACACATCATCAAATTAATCTTCTGAAATAATATCCATGTACATGGGAAAGACGTTTTTTTGGAAACCACTAGTGATTCATTTTCACCAGGATTTCGATAGCAGACACGCTTTCTATGATTATTCACATGGATAATAATTTCCGAAATTCCAATTTCCTGTGTGATCAGCTACTATTTACGACTTCTGATATGCGTTCTTCACTTTGTTATCTCTCCTGTTGTTGTGTTGATGTGAAGTTTAGCAACTTTAGCCATCATGTGGTAATGTCATATCCTATTTTGGTTATGTCTATTCCTGTTATCTGCTTTGAAGAAGGATATTGTATTCAACGCAAGGAAAATTATTGCTTTAATAAAAGAAGAAATGAAATAATTGTTTCGTTATTTTACTAGACCCTCAAGAATACGCTCGATTTTGCAAAACTTAATATTTGTATGCTGGTTTTCCCCGCTATATCGCTCGTTGACTTAAGTACTTCACTCTGAAGTAATAAGTCACGCGTTAAAGCCGGTTCCACCTATTTCAGTCTAAAAAATTGGGTAGTATCGTAAGCTGTCACTTAAATGTTGTGGCTCATTGTCTAGTGCATGCACACATGCACCGGGTTTAGTTACATTTTTAAAATCTTTACTGTGGAATCGTTTATTTATTGCATGGAAAGCTGTTTCTGTGTTTATCACATTTTAGGCGAGGTCCGTCCCCGTCTTGGTACGAGAGATGATGTTAATGCCCTCTGGTCCAATATGCACGTAATTGATTGCTTTGCAACTGATCATGCTCCACATACCGTTGATGAGAAGGGTAAAGACTCAGGAGCACCCCCTGGGTTTCCTGGTTTGGAAACTATGTTACCACTATTATTGACTGCTATGTATAATGGTCGGCTTACACTCTCTGAAATAATTGAGCGACTGTATATAAATCCGTGCAAGATATTCGGAATTCCAACTGCGCATACGTTATATGAAGCTGTAGATTCAGTCAGTCGAGGAATATACGGAGAGACATGGATCGAAGTGGACATGAGTGCTGAATGGTGCATTCCTGGAGATGCTTGGAGATCTGGGTCTGAAACTCCTGCGAAATTCTTTACTCGAGCCAATTGGAGTCCTTTTGCAGGCCGAGTTGTTCGTGGTCAAGTTCGTCGTGTTATGCTCCGAGGACAGCTGGCATTCGTTGATGGACGTGGTATGATCATCATTCTCATTTCATAATATGAGTCTTGTTCTTTATCATTTCAGTTACTATTATGTAGGAATGCGGCTAAGTGATTTAGAAACGCGATTTAGAATTATTCCGAGTCATTAATACAAACATTTTGCACATTTTCCGGTCTGAAAACTCAAATAGTATCCCATAAGTTCATACAACAGGCGTCGTTGTAAGTCTTAAACACTTTAAATCCTAATCGATATCATTGTATGTCCAGGCTGAAAACTTCACAGAAACCTACACAACTTTAAAGCACTTAAAGAGAAATTCAACTGATAAAAATGAAGCCAGAATGTGCAAGAATCTAATTCATAAAAAAGCAACAGTAACCACAATCCAATAACATCCGCAGGTGATAAGACAAGATAAAGGACGTTCGTGTATTCTGCATATCTTAAGGTCATAGATTATGATACAGCAAACCTACCGCACAGTGTTCTCATCTGCAGCATAGGTTGAAAAATGCTGAGCATATTTTGTTTATCAGTGCCATGATTTCGTAGGTAGTCAATTTTTCATAGCTGATGCAACTTCTCAGTTAAGTAGATTGGTTAACACATCCAGCTACGTCATTCCTTACTCTTAAAATCAGCATCACGGCACCTCAATCCTGCAACAACCTCACAAATATGAGATATTAAATCTTATTTTTCTCGCTTAGCAGAAATATGTTGTATCTATGGGTTTGGTTTTGGGGTTGCTGCTTACTGATCTAAGTGCTTTACTTTCAACCAAAGGAACACGAGTTTGAGCTCCACTTCACCTACTGAGGTGTTGGATATTACCATGAGCTGTTACATAAGAGATGTGTCTTATCACCTACTGCAAGAAAGTGCATTTGGTTGCTGGGTTGCATTTTAATACAGTTTTCGGGTTAAGTCGGCCAAAGAATCTCAGATTAGAAAGCGAATCTCACTAATAGTGATGTATCTTTCTTCAGATATATGTATACAGCCTTATCTGTACTCGTATCAGCTGACTAAATGCTGTTTTTAACAATTACTAATTTTTACTATTTCAGTCTTAGTAGGACCTGGTTTTGGGAAAGATGTATCATCAGACTTGTCGTCGTGCAAAAATTCTTTAGATTCTTTAACAGTTGACACATCTTTAAAGCATATGCCTACTGCAGCTGGTTCTCCTACAATTAGAAAACGACTCAATTCAATGGGTGAACGAGTTCAGGTAGTGAGTTGCTTCTTTCCATTTGTACTGTTTTATTATTCCTTGTATCTATACTGCAAATACACGGTTGCATCCTGATTTTATAACCTAGCTTAGCTCATACAACTTACTTGTGATAGACTATTGTGACATGTTTTTTAGACGCTTGAAGTAACTAGGTAGACAGACTCTAAACTGGATGGACCGATTATAGTAAATATATGTACATAAAATGTCACATCGTCCATGTCTATAGTTAGCTTATCTCTGATATACCTTAATTTAGCTGATGAAAACCCGTGCTTTCTTTAAGTCTTCTGAAATGCAAAACTAAGTGTAGTAGGAGTGCAGAGGTCACTAGTAGCCTTCCGTAAGCGTTTTACACTAAAGATGAAAGATATAGCTGAAAATTTATTTACTGATCCCATCACTCTCCCACTTTGTAGAGCGGAATGTCAACATTCTGATTGCATTAACTAGGGTTTTTTTCTGCTAGCAGTATTATTAGATTTCTGAAGGCTAAAGTGAAAAAGTTATAGCTAACTATTGTATATGATTCTGTACGTTTTTCACTTTTTGTTTTTAAAGTCTCAAGATGAACCTAATACTCCAGTTCCAATGGCAGTTCAGAATGATGATGGGCCTCGAAGCCCAGTTAACATACATCAACCTCAAACCTCTGGCCTGATTATGACCTCTCAAATACCTCCGATTCATCAAACTACACCTAGTATGTGGTTAGACGGTCTATCTGGAAAACACATAATTTCATCTATGGATTTCTCAAGAGAGCATCTTCGCAAGCTATACAATCTGGCACATAGTTTCAAACTTGCACTGAACAAAAACAAACCACTTGAACAGATATGTCGAGGAAAAGTTAGTACCCCTTTTGATTAAAAACAAACTTTTACCCCATTGTTTACTGTTCATTGAATTCCTATCGCTTTTATTGGTATTTAAACTTATCCTTTTTCTACAGGTGATGGGCAACTTGTTTTTTGAGCCTAGTACGCGCACTGCAAACTCATTTGCCGTAGCTATGCAGAGACTTGGGGGTACTGTAGTACATTTTTCAGAATCTGAAAGCTCTCAGATGAAAGGTGAAAGTCTCTTGGATACTGTACGCGTGTTAGCCGGTTATTGCGATTGCCTGGTAATAAGACATCCAGGAAAAGGTACAATACAGAGTGTCGCGAATTCAATACTTCACACACCAATCATAAATGCAGGTTAGTGGATAATGACTTGTCGTTACTATTTGAAGTAAGCCTTTTTCAGTTAGACAAAATAAGTATAGATTAAGAAGCGATTATGAAGGAGACCATTACTTGTTTATAACCCTCCCATGAAACAGTAACTAATAAGAAAACTGGGTGATTGGGTTTCCTTTGTTTAATTACCACACACTTGCTGAACAACTCAGAACACATTTTCTTGACAGTAAATGAGTTGGATATGTTCCATACAAGCACAGTGAACTTAAATTACAGTCTTAAAAAACATAATTTAACTCCTGTAGCATACGCTTGTGACGAAATTCAACTGTCATCCCTTTTACTGTTATATTCATAAATGATAATGGTTAAACTTGTTTTGTATGAAAAATTGACTAACCAAGCAATCCGTTTTAAGGATTAACATTAAAATAACCTGTAGTTGTTTCGAAGCTTATCCATAGACTGGATACAACTTTTTTTAGGTAACAGCAACAATAAAAGCAGTTTGCCTAAGATCCACAACTTCCGTTAGAACACGATAGTTAAGTAAACAAATCAGTGCACACTAAAGATAATCAATTCAAACCGACAGACTATTTAATTTTTTTTTTGACCGAAACATCTCATAACGAAACAAATGCTAATTTAGTTTTTTAGTTTTCAATGAGTACATTTATAAAATGCAAATTATAACGACCTGAAAACATTACACGGTAAGCCTAACACCTAAATGTTGTTTTTATTGTATGTGGTAGGGTAGATTATCTTGCAAATAAATAAAAACGAATAATATCGTACTCACCAATCGCGAACATGGACAATTCAATATGAAGCATATATGACTCAAATTGCTGAATACCTCACATTGTCACGTTTTGTATCTATCATTAGATCTATTCTCATACTGGTCGATTCATTCAAATAACCTGATAACAATCACCCATGCAACACGCAGCTTTATTGGTTATACATAGTTTTTTACAAGAACTTGTGTGATTCCCATCTAAGTATACCTCGTTTAAGGGAAATCTGTCTTTATTTGTAATTTTTTGTCGTTATAACTCATGAAGAGTAACCAAGAAATCACTTTTTATACTGGGTGATGATTGAAGGTGAAATGGAAATTTGAACCGCGGTCGGATTCGAATCAGCGACCACCGGGTTTCTAGGCCAATGCTCTACCAACTGAGCTACGAAGTCCGACCATCAGACCGGAAACCCGGTGGTTCCTGGTTCGAATCCGGCCGCGGTTCAGATTTTCATTTCACTTTCAATCATTACTCGGTATAAATGCTAGTCTGTCAAACTAGCGCTATCCCAGATAGTCAAATGAAAATCACTTTCTATTAAGAAACTATGAGACGTTCGAAAACGTGATCTAAACAGTATATATTTTTCCTGTATTTCTCCTTTGATAGCTTACTCGCCTATCCCAGTCACTTACCTACCTATTTGAAATAGTGTACGAGATACTACCATTAGTAACTATATTTATAATACATGTCTACTTTGTGTGTCGATATAAACAATTCTTACCATGTATATCAAATTACTCGAAACCGTCCTAACATTAGTGGTTATATCTGATGAGTAACGCTGTGGCTCATTGGTCTAGGCAGTTAGTTGACTTTCAACCGGTGGGTAACGTGTTCGAATATTGCTGCACCTACCGAGGTAGTTTCATTAGTCTTCATACAGTAGGCGTAGATCACAGTCTAATGCACGACCGTGTGCAAGGTCGCTGAGTGAGTTTTTCGTCTGATGAGCTGGATTCATTTGTTGGAAATCACACTTTCTCCTGACTTCAAAGACCGATATTGTAAACTTTAATCTCATAACAGAATCATAGCATGTAAACGATATGTAGAGCAGTAACTTATTGGCTTAGACATCCGAATTCCAGTCAGTGGGTCCGTAGGCTTAAAATCTGCTCTACATATAAAGGCTTGGAAGTTATTTCCTGACAAAAGAGGTGTGACTAATTTATATATATGCCCAACATTGCACATGGCAAGTTCAGTAAAACAGATATTTGAACTTCTTTACTCGTCTATGATTTAGATTTCTCAGGGCAGACACAAATCACTTCCTTAAGTCAGTAAGTAAAGTGGAAGTTAATTCTTTAAATTGTCAGACCGATTCGCAACTAGACAAAATGTACTCATAACCGTGGAATAGTATTAATATTACTTTACGCTTAATACAGGAAAAACTATACGTGGTGGGTTAAGTAGTAGAGTATTTCAAAAATATGATTGCATAAAAAGGTTAATTTGTTTACAAAATAAGTGGAATGTATTTTGTTTGTTTCACTTGTCATTCACATGGATTATGTAACGAACATGCTTGTTTTTTTCAAACTTCAGACATTTTGTTTTTCTTATCGGTATAGGTGACGGAATAGGTGAACATCCGACTCAAGCATTGTTGGATGTATACACTATAAGAGAAGAGATAGGAACAGTAAATGGTCTTACCATCACTATGGTCGGAGATCTTGCTCATGGACGTACAGTGCACAGTTTAGCTCGGTTACTGTGTTTGTATAAAGTTAAGCTACGTTATGTCACACATAGAGAAAATTTTAAAATGCCGCCAGAAGTTAGAGCTTATGTTGCAGAACGTGGTATTCCTCAGGAAGAAATGACCAGGTAAGTTTAATTTTAACTGCTTTAACTGAATTATACTAAGTGTTCACTAAAAAAAATCAATTAAGAGTAATTATGAAATCGCAATAAAACAAATAGGCTTACGAATACGGAGTTGAGTGTAACACATGTATGAGAAGTCAATTGTCATTTGGGCGCTACTTAGCTCCCATGATATACTTCATGAATTTCAATGTCGCTCATAGATGCATTCGTTTAGCCAACAGGTTTTACTAGATAAGAATATTAATTTAGTACAAGTGACCAAGGTAGATATTCTATTTATATTACATTAATCGTGTACTCCCTATTTGTCACTTTTGTTCACAGCTTAGAGGAGGCGCTTCCTGATACCGATGTTTTGTACATGACACGTGTGCAAACGGAAAGGATTCAAAATGATGGAGATGCTAGACGCGATCAATTTGTTGTTACACCTGAAGTGATGGCATTGGCCAAACCGAAAGGTATGATTGTAATGCATCCACTTCCTCGGGTTGGAGAAATTAGCCCAAGATTCGACTCCGATCCTCGAGCAGCGTATTTTCGTCAAGCAGAATATGGAATGCATGTTCGCATGGCCCTGTTGGCTATAGTCCTAGCTAATCAGAAGTAAAACCACCAACAACTCGTCTAAACTGACTGAAATTTCCAACATATTTTGCTACAATCAGAATATATTTTAGTATAGTAATGATTGTGTTTTCAATAAACCCTTTGATAATATCAGCCTTTTCAATGTATCAGCGGCATATAATTTAACCACGTTCGTGCTTTCGGTGTAAGGGGTATAGCTAATGTCATAGAGTAGATCATTTATTGTCTTTACAAGTTGTATTATGTTTATTATTATTAGTTTTCGGAACTGTTGCATCACTTATATTCACCACCTTGAACTTTATAAACATGAAACATTCTTTTCATTGGATGCATGATCTGGTATTTTCAGACACTCTATGATGACATATAAATAAATATATACTAGGAGAGAGTTTCAATAAGCATCTAAATATTATAAACGGATGTAAGACAGGCAATCTGCCACACAAGTGTTCCCAAAATCTATGCCAAAATAACATGCAAGCGTGAGTGGTATTATCTTGAGATAAATGCATCCGTCTATATACTCTGCCACTTTAATGGCAAGCTGAACAGCAGGAAAACTATTCTAAAGCTCTTCATACAGCTTCAAGGTGAAGTTGATCGTGGTCAAATTTTAGCAAAAAATACACAACATATATTCGAAAACCTTTATTAGTATTTACATAATTTTTCTATGTATTCTTGACTGTGATTATTTTAAATAATGGTTTGAAATTATTTCATTTTCACTGTGAGCGAAGTCGCAAAATTCAGAAGGATATGGACAACCATCTGGGTGGTTATGTAGCATCCAACAGGGTTTTGTCTTGCGATTTTTCCCACTTTTCTGATTGGCTAATGCAGGTGATGAATCTGTCAGCCTCCTCATGTTATTCGGTAACCAACGTAATTGAACATTATTCTTGATAGCTTTATGATAAAGAAATGAATATTACCATAAGAGAATCTATTGAATGATAAAAGATCATCGAAACTACTGTCACGATGTAAGAAATTTGAATTAGTCAGTTCTTACTAAACAGTATGCATAGCTAGCGTCTTTCACTGTCATAAGCTCTAACGCGTCTAGGAACACTTCTCACTTTATTCTCAAACAATGAATCATTGTGTTAAAATCTTATTTGCTGATGATAAATATGGCTTTAAGACTTTAGAAAATGATACTGATGAAGAGAAAAATCTCCCACTGAATCCTTTATCGTCGTGTGGATAAATATATGATAACTTTCTTTAAATGCCAACGGAAACTCCTCGAAAAATAATATTCTCAAAGGAATGGTGTGACTTGTTTGAGCAGTTACCTTTCGCAATCCACAAATAAAAACCTAAGGATGGTTATATCACGGTTCGTAAGACCCTACGTTAGCCGTCTGTTCCAATTCTGTAACGATCTAGGTTTCTTCCAACCTCCATGATTACACCATATTCTATCAATACCAGACTACCTCACCTAGTCTCCTGAAAACATTGTCGTTTTATTATAAGACTTCACAGACTACAATTCTTGGGTATTGATAACGTATTTTGATTATTCTTAACTGCTTTTCTATCGTTATATTCCACCCAATTTCAACACAAAACAAATTCAACGGAGATGTCATCTCATTTACCTTGTTTAACTTTGTCGTTAATCACCTACTCACTATCAATATCGCCAGTAGCAACAGTGTAATCTAGTTTGATTTTTTGAAAGACAGATATTGTAATTTGAAAAACTACATCTTTCAACAGCTTCTTGGAAAAAAGTAGTACAATGACCGATCAGCCATGGTGGGCTAGTGGCCGACGAAGTCAAAGGCTAGACCGGCTTTTGCCCACTTATGGCACCAGCACGATATTCGATTGTCCACTAAGGGCCGAGTGTACTGTGCTATAGTCCGCTGTTCTACTGTATGGCTACAAAACATTGTCATTAAAGGTATAGGACATGAGAAGGCTTCAGGTGTTCAACCACCATTGTAGAACAGGCCGTGTGTCGTAGGGATGAGAAGGAAGTCAACTGATGCGGTTGTGAACCTTCATGGATTACGATTATTGGGAAATGCGTTACGCATGCTCAGTCACTGTCTACCTCACTACCCAATGTCAGCTGAAGTAGATTTAGGTTGGTAAAAGGCTCAGGACTAAAATATGGCATCATTCCGCCAAGTCTTTGAATGCTGGTCTGAGCCATGTAGGAAAATATAAGCCTCCCCGTTGTGCGAAAACAGACACCGATGCTTGTAGACTCTAGGTATTATGGCTCAGAAGCGACCTCAACGGCACACACATTACCCTCATTTTTAACCGTCAAGTTGGATTTCAGTAGTCATTCTTTCTTTCCTGGCATTTTTTGATAACTTTCTACCACTTTTGACTCCTCTCCCTTTCATTACTTTACTTTTCACCATAGCGTATCCATACCTCATGTGCTGATATGAAGTGCAGCAATTTGGACCGCCATGCAGTAATTCCAGGTCTTATGTTGATCATGTCTCTCTGTCTAATAATCAAATAATTTGAGCATGGATACTTATTTTCCTAACTATATGAAAAAAGCGGTTATACGACTACAGTCTACGTGAAATGTTTAAGATTATGAAATTCGATTTCTGCATCTAGACAGCTTGAAAGAGAATACTTAAATAAGTTACTGACTCGCAAACACTTTCTAAACTTTATTTAAATCTTATCCTACGAAAACATTTTTCGCGAGATATAAATAATGATGACACAGAAACTATGGATGAAAAACTTCACAGTCATTGAGCCATTGTAACACAAATGAGTAGTTTGCAAGCGAAATAGAAAATACAACTCTTCATTTGTATATTTTACTAACATGTTTAATCTTAGACTGCACCTGAAAAAATTTATATATCCTGAAGGCAAAAATGACCAAACTCATGCACTGTTCTGGAATATTTTATTTGTAGTGTCTTACAATTCAAGTTAGTAAGCCATTGAGCTGAACATAAAGCCTTTAACAAATTCGAAAACTCCAGGCGTTTGTAACTGCTTTGCCTCCTTGAGTCGGAGAACAAGACTACTTCTGAAAATATAAGTAATATTGACATCTGGCTACAATTACTTGAGGTAAGAAGATCGCGTTTCAATAGTGGACTAGGTGGTGGCGATGGATAAAAGTGGTAGTTTAATGTACAATTCACAATGTTTTGGAGTGTTGTTTATATTCACCCTCACTACTCAAAATATTAAAGTAAAAATTTGCGACGAAAGAGATTGGTAAGTTTTATAAATAAACTCACTTCGGAAGCACTGATGATGGTTTCTCAAGACCGTTTGCAAACCACCATTTTGCGATTTCAACAGCTTCATATCATCCAGCGATATAAGTTTGCTACATTGTGATAAACTTAATACGCCTTGATGAAAAAGAAAGAAATTTGCAAAGCTAATAAAAATTGTAGTTCATTTTTTCTATGAAAAGTATGTACTATGTATTAAGATAGATAACCAACAGATAGTTAATAATAATTTGCAAAAAGAAATCTGAAATTGAGGTCTTTAGGTATCACTGATGTGAGCTATAGAAAATCGAAGTGAAAGCGAAAGCTTACTCTTCCAAAATCTCATTAGCCATTGGTTTGAAGGTTTAGAACGATCCTTGAGACTGATAACTGATACATGCAAATGATTTATTCATCCTATTAGTAAAACTCTAAGTGTGTGTGGCAACTCAAATGTTAACTTCGCGTACAAATTGTCCACCTCGAACATTAATTACTTAAAGTCATATGAATTAGGAGATCGGAAACGTCTCATCAAGGCTTAAGTATTAACCAGCGTATCACAACCTAATAGTGAAATATAACCTTTTTGATCTTAGTGAACCAAAAATTAAGCTCCTCATCCACGTTTGGAGAAAGTAACCTCCAAGGGGAAATCGACACAGAAGTGTAACAATTCTAGTTGCCACGCTTCCCAGTAGCATGCATTGAATAACTGGATACAAAAAGAATGATATTAAGGAAAACCAAAGTGTACGAAGACAGAGATAATAAATAGATGAAAATTAATGATGTTCAAAAATGACAGTGTATGAATTTGGGGAGTTATGGTTGTCTTAGCGTTAAATCAATATTTCCACACCAATATGCAGCATTTTTAAACAATACCAATCTAGTTGTGGATAGTTAGGTTAAGAATTTATGAAAGTATTCGTTGTGACATTGACTAGAAAACCAATAAGCAACGGATAGTCATTTTATTGCTTCCCGATTTTCTAACTGCCGTTACATCAAGTTGGCACTAACGAACCATTTAAGTTAAATCATTATAGTATTTTGTCGTGTCTATTAGAATCTATTAAAAGGGACCGAAGATAAGAAGGAATCTTACACAAGTGTTATTGGTCGTACTATTCTACTTATTATAAAATTTATCTAAGTGTATCATTTTTCTGCGACGCACAGTTCCGCAATAACTACACTTTAAAGGGAATCCATTATTGTGCACAATTTTGTTTTCTATTTATAAAATTAGCTATTTCATCTACATGAATTATAGCACGTTTGTATGTATGCAAGAGAAACAATAAGGACGGTGACCCATCAAGTCTTACCGTCTTATTGCGTTCAGCTTGGTCTGTAACTCATAGGTATGGATATATACATTTGTGCCACCTAGTAATTTCAAATCATATCAGTGTCAGAGTTATGTTTTGTAATTATCAGTTCAATCATATGATATGAGTTATGTCAGTTTATTTGTCGTTATAACAGCATCCACGTAAATCTCTGTATTCCGAGTAAATTCCTATGACTTTTGTCTTAGTCCTTACCATCCCCATTGCTTATCCTATGATTTCATAAACAGTGCAAAAGCATGCTTCTTCCTTATTCAACATGCAAACTTATTACCACTTTAGCGACTATTTTCCCGATCTATCACTGCTTATTTTTACTAAATTACTAATAACAAAATCTTTCTTATCAGTCACTATGTTAATGATCAATTCAACAACAGCCTACTCTAACTTTTGCAAAATTATCATGTAATGGTATTATTACTTGTATTATACCGTCGTTGATTGGACCCAATTGATCGGTTTCTATTGGCATATAGGCTCCTGCGTGGTTGCCTCGATATTGCCTGCTTTAAGTATATATAGTAAGTCAAATATCCTAAAGCTGTCAATAACTCATTAGTTTTTAGGATGCCAGTTGAGCGATAATTAATTAGAAAAATCAAGATAACAGGGAGAGAACCTAATAATTACATGATAAAATAGTAATGATGGACCGTGGCTAGCAGTGGAATCCAGGATGCACATTTCCTCCTATTAAGGACTCGTCATCTGGATGCACCTGCTTCCCAGTGAGTGATGTTGTTCCCACCACCCACTCACAGGGAGGTAGGTACATCCAGATGACGAGTCCTTAATAGGAGGAAATGTGCATCCTGGATTCCACTGCTAGCCACTATCCATCATTACTATTTTATCATGTAATTACTAGGTTCTCTCACTGTTATCTTGATTTCTCTAATTAATTATCGCTCAACTGGCAACCTAAAAACTAATGAATTATTGACAGCTTTAGGATATTTGACTTCGAGTATTTCATCACAGTTTGCCATCAGCTAGAGAAGCAGTGAAACTAAAAAGTGCTGATTAGTATCCAAAGCTAAAATGTAACGACTGTTCAGTGTTCAAAGAATACCGAAAACCATTATAAAGAATGGCGTTAATTAGCAGGAGGTTTGTAGTTACTTGAATTCCTAAATGTTAGTTTGCAAGCCAGATATACTTTTGTTGCCATAAAGTAAGAAAATAAGGATAATGGAGAACTCCTTATACGAGAATGGCTATCCTGAAAAGTTCTCAAGGACCGTAACACTGTAAACAGCTTGAGAGAAGTCCCTTCAAATGTTACCGAAGAAACGATTATATCTAACTTTAGCGTCCAAAGGAGATGCAGCTGCAGAAACACTGAAACAGAAGTCTGATAGAAAAAACCTTTGCTGCCACACTATATTTGAAATTTACTGCTCGCTGTATGATGCCATTGCAGTTGAAGGATAGGCTTCGGAATTTGGCCACATCTATGTGTATTTATAAGTCTGTTTCTGTGAAGAAGTTACAACGACTTGGCAAGCTCAGCATCACTTCTTTGAACACTGTCAAGGGTGGTTCGGCAAAAGGAACAGTGAAATCTATCAAAGGCTCACTACTCACCCATTTGGTAGATACTGAATATAAGATTGACAAAACCTCAGTAGTTACCATTATTTACAAAGTGCAATCATAATACTCGGATTGCTAAGCATAGCAGAAGCCGTAGCAATTAAAATTTTCATACCAAACTTATGTATACACATGTTTGTTCGTTCTATTTCCTTCCCATGACTTTCAACTTCGACTCAGATACAATGATAATAATCTCCATCCCGGTCACATAGATAAATGTAAATATTATCTTCGTTTGTACTCTTATCATTTTATAGTTCAACCTTCGTTTCATAATTGATTGAGAATTTTAACCTTTTATTATTTAATCTCTATCTGACAATAATTTTATTTCCCTCTATCCCTGCATACACACACATATCTACACGGATTGACTACTGAAAATACCTAAACCTTCCGAGATTTCATTTTTGTTATTATCGACTTTACTATTATTTTATAATTCATATACCTGAATTCAATTAACCATGTTGGTATAAAATGACTACGCTGAATAATCTGTAAATGTAATTGTAAAGCCTGATGAGAATTTACCAAAATATATGTATTCGCTTCAAACTCTGTTTTCTAATTATCACAATGGGAATATTTTAATTACTGTAAAGTATGTTTATATAATATCATCCCAATAGGTGCAGATGACAATAAAATGAAGAAACTAAGTTACAATAAAGGAAGATTTTACAATATTTTACAGGAGTTTGAGACCTGTTAGATAATGAATGGTACTTCAGAGTTAAACTACACCATCACCTATTGTAATATTAATGACTATGTGACTTAACAGATAGAACAACTCATCCAATTAGACAGAAACATCTACTGAGCCTAGTGATGAACTGGTAAACCAAATGACAACAGAAATGTAAAAGGTTTGTTTCAGATAGATTTTAACAGTTCATGACTGTACTACACTACAGTTTCCTTACAGATTAAAAGAGATACAACCGTCTAACATCAATTCAAAATTCTTTTCTTGTTACATTTGTTGTAACGTCGAGTAAATTGAGTATCAGGTAGGATATTTTTCATATTGACAGATTGTTCATTTAGTGGAAATATTTTATAAACAATTCCATTGAATGTTAAGTATAAAATACTCAAACTACAGTGGATATTTAGAAACAAAATTAAAACTACTGAATTTATAATAATAACTAGACTGATATCTTTCTTACCACCAGGATTCCACCAGCGATTATCCAAAGTTTTTATTTTTAATTCATCAGAAATTATCAAATTAAAAGATTGTAAATATTCTTTACACGGTGGACAATTTAATAAAGCTGTAAAAATTATCTCGCATATATTATTGAGAATTAATCTAGAAACATTTGAACAATTGGAAGATTTTTCAGTAGGTGAACGTGGAATAAACTTTTTTTCAGGTTTTACAATCAAATTGCGTTCAAAATTGATATACTTTTGAACAGTAGACAAACGTTCTGCATACACATCGTTGTCTAAATATTCTAAATTGATGATATATCGACCAATAATACACATCTAAAATGATTAATAAATAAGTCATATCACAAGATAAAGAACAACTACGGGTACTATTAATTTTATTAGAAATAGTTATATGTACTTGTATAACTGGTTAAACAAAAAAACCAAGTATCCTGATATCATTCAGAAACATCATTTAGAATTACGTACAATGAGAAATTTATGCAACAAACTTAAACGCTACACATTTTTGTAATTTAAACCCTATCTGGTTAAAAAAAAATACTTCAATAGGACCAATATGAATTATTTGGATATTATATCACTTTACTGTATATACCAATTCACTGCATACCTCGATGCGCAATGTTAACCAAAAAAAGGATTGGATTGGAAGAAAGCTACAGTTAACAGACCAAGATATAGCACCGGTTTATGAAGTCATTGACTGTTGTTTACGAAAATGTACACCGCTTGGATTGGATCTTCAAAACAATAGAAATCAACAGTTGGAAACTCCTAGTCATAGCAATCAGAATGCGACAAATGTAGACACTCTTCAAGGTTTTGAACATTTCTACTAGCCTTTGTTTATTCTCTCAACTTTTAAACACTTTCGTCTACTTAAATGTCATTCTTTTTTTCATCCACTTCGTTTTCGTATACTGCTGTGAACCGTGATAACTTGAAATGATTCACTTCCATGGCAGATTCTACCTTGAGTTGCCTGTCTGTCATCCCTTGACTACTTTCGCAAAAATCTTAGCCTAAAGAAATTACAGTAAACTCCACAAAAGCAAATAAGCAGACAGACAAATGCTGACCCTTAACGGAAATCGTTCTGCATAAGTTAAAACAGTTCCTATGATCCCATCGCCATCCAATGTTTTAATGGACTTTCAGGAAAATCAAGCCCAGGAGAATTACGCTTGTTTCAGATTTCGACCACGGTATTTTTTTCCTATAAGCTCACGAACATAGTTACACTGATAGACACTGTGAACTCAAAATAGAGCGAAAGATAAAATGTTAACATGTTAAAGTGAAGCAATACATTTTTCAAAATTATTATAAATGCACATGTAACAGAAATACAACAGGATGTATACCCATACATGATTTTACATGTGATGTAAAGAGTAACCTAACTACTGAACCTTGCTCACTTGTATCAGTACAACTGTTCTACAACACTAAGTATAACATGCACTGTTCAGAGATACGATAACCCCAAGATGAACCGATCGTTTTTAGAAACTAAGGTAAGGTGCGCTTACGACCACGACCAACAAAAGTTCACAATTAACACTTTCAGTTGCACCATGAACTGTTCTACGATACCTACTTTTTACTTTCAACAGAGTTCATGAATTACTACCATGTTTAAACCCGATCCCCTCTGCTTTATTCTGCTCTCGTTGCTGGTACGTAAAATACCGAAGTGCTCTGTATGATAATGTGTCAGTAAGATCTGTCTACGAAATTGATATCGAGATGGACAGTGCCTCGGTGTGCGTAACATATGGCCTTCATCCATTATCGAAGACGAATGGCTCGACTAGAAAGCTCTTATTTTCATGCTAAACAAAATCATTAGGACAAATTTAACAGAAACGTTAGCTTCCATTTTCTGTCAAGGTACCATATTAGCATGCCCTGAGGAGATAGTATATATGGTTTTTCTCTCAGTTGTTGCGATAGGCTGTTTTCTTCAAGTGATTGGAATGGTCAAAAAGCAAAGCCAATTAAAAGGGGCTCAAACACGTTATATAATAGGTTCGTCAGTCTATTTAATCATCGCTAATTAATACTCTGAAAGATGGCTAGAAACAACTTAACGTATTTGACAGCTTTCTCAGACTGTTTCATGAGATGGCAAATAAGAACATAGACGAAGGCTAAATGGTAGGATTACTGCTCATTAATGAGTAAATGACTCTTAAACTGTGGGGTTACTAGTTTGAATCGGTTTTCGTGTATCGAATTTTGAACAATCATGATCGGTTGTAAACTATAAACAAATCCAAGTTTTAATTCGCTTGGTGACTACCAGTAGTGGAATCCAGGACATGCGTTTCGTCTCATTTAGGACGTGTCAGTTCCATGTACCTGTACTTCACTGAGTAGTGGTGTTCCCACCGGGACTGGAACCCCATGCCCGTAGCTTTAAACGCAACATCGAAGCATCCGCATAGGAGCCAACATTCCAACAGACGTTGATCAATTCGATCCAGTAAAACAACAGGAAATTATAAATATCAACAAATAAATCCAAGGTTTGTTGTTCAGTTATATTATTCTTATGAAAACCAGCTGAACAGTTTATCAAGTTGTTTCACCTATCATTCTATTTGCTTACGTTAAAACGTCACTAGCAAAAAGTATCTTCTAGAATATCTACAGTTGCTGCAAAAAAAACCATGTTTGTGATCATAATTTGCTTCAGCCCCATATATATATATATATATATATATATATATATATATATATATATATATACGCTAGATTCGGGTAAGTGACTAGTAATTACAATCTTACACGCTTGGTCGAGGGTATTCTAAGAGCATCTACTTCAGGGATAAATCCACAAATAGCAAGAATCTGTTGTATGTAATTAAGATATGTCCCATATCGACTACTTTCAGTAATTTGGTTAACATTCACACCTTCCGGTAAAAATGGAAGTGAATTTGTAGGAATATTGAACTTTCCAAAGAGACCATAAGGACAACAGGGTAGAACGAATAACTTGCAAGATGGTCCAGATTTGCAAGCCAGTACCGGCAACCAAGGGGTTAGTTCATCGCTGTGGTTACCAATTAGCCAATTCGCGTCTGAAAACCCACTATCATTTTCTGGGTTTAGTGAAAGTTCCTGGAAATCAAGTTGATACAGAAAGATATTTATAAATATGTAGATATGAAAGGTTGATAAGTATGTCATTAGCTTTTAGCTCTTGAGAAAAAAAACAGGATTTAATACGAACTGGGAGTATTCGGTATATTGCCAAAACGCGGACAATTATCACAGAGTATTCTAGCAGCTTAGAAATATACCGAATACCTTCAGCACACTTTTAAACACTATATGAATAGATCCATATATCTTAACTGATTCATTACATACACGTAAAGCACTCCATCAAAATAAATCCCCCCAAGAATGAACAGTCTATTTAGATTTTTAAAAAATCAAATGATGAACTTAATCAGACAGGGAGGAAATGAAAGATAAACAGAGTCGGAACAATAAGACAACCACTTCTTGAAAAAAACAGTAGGTGGGGTACACTTTCACCAAGTGGATTAGTTGTAAACCATAGTGTCTATGATTCAAACTATAAACTGACAGCTACTATACTGACATAGCGATCAAGATTGATTCTTGAGATAACCAAATCGAACCAAATTAGCTAAGGCTGTTGTTCCATGAGTTAATATCACATCACAAAAGTCAAGGATAAGAGTGAAATCAACTACTATCACATTTTCAGTAATGTATAAAGTGGCATCTTATAGGTCTAAGAATGTATTCATACTGCTCGTTAAAAAAGATGTGATGACAGCAAGCTGTATTTCTCTTGGTTCTTTAATTGGCCGATTTTTCACTCAGAAGTGAAAGGCAAGAAAAAAAGTTTATCCTAAGACCTCAGCATTTCATCTTTTACTGCAGCTCCCTGTTAGCGGTCGTAAATTTCCTCGACACATGAATGAAGGCTGATTATGGCATTACTTTGGACAAAAGATAAGATTAGTTAGAGAAGAACATAGATGCAGCCCATGAAGTCATACAACGGAGCGTACGCTATAGGGTCGAAATCATCAGGATGTTTCAAATCAATAATTGCAGAACTTAATTAATATGGTTTAAAATTGACTGCAGTGACCTTTTGAAACCGTCCAACACTAAAATATCTTATTAATAAAAGATATAATCAAATTAGGTCAGCAGTCTCGAAGTACAAGTTTATCGTTGGCATTTCTTGTGTTCAAGTCGTTTAAACTGACAGATTTAAAAGCTCGTAAAAAAATCCAGAATGTGGCGATTTAGATCAACCAACTGCTGTTTATTTTCATATTAGTTTAGTCAAAACATTGAGATCAATGTTTAAATACTAATAGTCTCCAGTGCGTGAGAAGATCAAAACATAGGTGTATACTTGTTTTTTATACGGATCCACTAAGGATAGGAAAGGCTTGGAACTATTCGATCTAAAGTTTCATGAATGCTCTGTTTTGAGAACATTAAAAGGTAGGATTCCTCTCTTTTTTTGTAGTCTTCTTATATCTTCAATTCGTGAAAAGTAACACAAAAGTAACGAAAACGTGTTTTAAATACATCTTATGGAACCAACTCTGCGTTTACTCTTCTTTTTCTTGTCTTGTATTATTTCATTTTTAACTTCCTATTGTTGTAAGATTATTTAAGGCAACACAGATCTCGGTGCCAATATCTGAACGAATTTGTCTTTGAAATCAAAATGAAGTCTCTTTATAGATATCCAAAACAAGTTGAGATTTGATGGCAAAATCTCTTCACACTAAGTGGAATCGAAATTGTCTAAGTAGGAATGAGGGAGTAAAACGTAGTTTGACCTGGTTTTAACCCGCCCCCACATACTGATATAGCCAACATACATACTATAAGAATTATCAACACACGTGTACACGCAAATCTCAATATGAGTGGGTACCCAGAAAGCTTTAACAACAACCACGCAAAATGGGTAGAGAGCAGAACAACGTCCCCAACGGTACAGAAGACACCATTCTATATCACCTTTCCATTCAAAGGTGACGATGTACTAGAAGTAATTAGAAGAAGACTGGAGAAGTCTGTTACAAGGACTTACTACGCTGCTAAACTCCTCCTCAGCACTACCAAAAGGGTACTGCAATAATCAGGGGAAGACAGGGCTCTGATCCTCGACACATCTAAATGCATGTATCAATTCGAATGTACCTGTGGAAGCAAATACATTGGTCGTACGGAGAGGCCTCTGTCTACCAGAATGGTTGAAGCATGTCGAGAAGACCCCGAGGAGCTCGATAACGAAACACCTAATGGACTATGGACATGATATTGCTACCTGTAAGTCCTTTACAGTTATCAGTAGACAGCAAAATAAGAAGTTGCTTGGATATGCAGAAGCCTGCGCAATCCGAGTTGTCAAGCCGAACCTTTGCATTCAGAAGGAAATAGTATTCAGCTTGAATCTACCATGGTAGGAATTACAACATCGTCTAATCATATTTAATCTTTCTAACTTGCTCTTCCTTCTTAATTATCACCCTTCCTTCCCTAACTTGTTTCGCCTAATTAACTTTATACCTATTACCATTATTACTCATCTCAATATACACCTGGTTTTCTTATGTCTACAGAAGTACTATTAACTGTCTAGCTTTCTTGGACTTTGACGATTCCGTTCTCGCCCCTATGTCGACATTGATATTGTCTGATTTTCAAATATTCATCCTTCCAAACGAGTGATCTATTCTTTCTCACCCTTGATGTCTCACAACCCCATTGTACTTTTCACAGATGAACTAAAAAAATTTCCCCACCCTATTATCGTTGCACCTTACTCGCACAACGAAAAAATCTCTCTGACCGAGTTGCTCATTCACTCACCCGTATTACATCGATCTTTGTACCATATCACTATGTAATTGGATGATTGTAAAGGTCACCACTTTCTGTACCAAAACTTGAATATTAACCTGGAAACTTAATGTTAGATTCATACTCTCGAAACGTTGAAGAATAATACAAAATATTTGTTTATTTTGTTATTTGCTCTAATATACTACGCCGGGATTACACAAATAAAAATACGCCTTATACAATTAATTGATATTGTCATTATAATAATTTACCTACCTGAAAGCCACTATTATCCAAACTAAATTAACTTATCCCTAACCCATTCAATTTTGAATATCCATTTCTACCCTTTGTATTACCATTTGACCATTAAAAACTGTTCACTTCTGTTATTACATCTAAATCTGTGTCAGTCCACGTTATATATGTATGTATGTATGTTCTTTTCCATTGTTTAACGGTATATATAATCAATTGTCTAGAGTATCCAGCTGACGAGTATGACTGAAACTTATGAATTCATTAAATCTTGCTTTCTTCATATTCGTTGTTTGTTTTAAATTTGTATCGGGAAACAAATGTTTTCAAATGTACAGGAATCAGTTAATAGTTGCAAATGCAGGTAACTGTGATAACGCAGTGTAGAAATACTTGTAACTAAGACGCAGAATAATTAAATCCAGCAGTTATAGTACGAGTAGGAAGTGAACGGAACAGTGATGTATTACACCAACTCTTTAGAAAAATTTGCAAACGTAACAACATAGAAGCTGTCAATAATCCATATTTTCCCACCTTATTAAACAGTACGGAAAGGAAAACTTGAGAAAAAGGGTTGATAACAAGTATTATGCTGGAAAAAGATGCCGATAAGTGATGTGGGAATATGTGAAACAGAGAAATACTTCCTATTTAAGGCAATACTAAATCTGAACACATCAGTGTCTTCACTCCAATCAAATTCCATCAAGAACAAGTCCGTGAATTCATGGATTTGCGTAAAATCTTAATTCGACTACCTTGAGGCCTACATCATTACATTCCTAATGCAGGAAACAAACTGTCTCCCACAAATTTCATACAAGTTGCTATTTAAATAACAGATAGGTACCGTGAAATATTTTGAAAAGTTTATCCGAGTAGACGTTTCTCTATACAGAAAAATCAGCTTTGTGCTACGCGCATGCTTAAGACTTATTTTCTAACATTATGCAACAAACGTGTGTGTGACATGTTTATTTCCCAGTAACATTTAGCGAACTAGCGTTTTGGACGTAGAGTTACAGTACGACCTCCATTTCAAACAATAATTTTGATTAATCTTCGCACAAAAGGTGTATTAACATTTTTCTAACCTGCAGGAAGATAAAAGTGAAAAACTGTATGAAATGATAAACCGAACAGGTTAACATATCATTGATTGAGAGAGAATTTCGTAGGTGTACTGAATTTACAAATTATAACGCATCTAGCAACGTACCTTCAAGCATTGTTGCACATTTGGCGGATAAGATTCCCAGATACGTCTTTTTCGAACATCTATTCCTATACCTTTAAACTTAGTCTAATAGAATAAAAAACAACTTACTCCTTCCGATAAAAGTATGTATGTTAACAGTCCATTACCACAACCAAGATCGACAAAGTTCACACGTTCATTTTTCCATAAGCACTGAACAGAAATAGAGTCAATAAACAATATGACATACTATCAAATAGCATGCAATACCAATATCTTCATACACGAATTTCAATGGGTCTGTCTTTTCCGACCAGTTCTACAAGAAATGATCAACCAAATTTTGAACCAGTACATGAACTAGGATAGATCCATAAGCACTTTTTAGCCGTTCATACTCCAATTGGTATAAATGACGATCAATGAGTGACAGAGAAGGAATGTTAAATTTTGTGTCACAAGAATACCATAGGTTAAGCTTTTTTTCAAGAACGTCCCTTAGCCAAGAATTTTGAAAAAAGCTACAAGGCAGTTCATCTGATATAGAAACTTTGATTCCAATACTTTCAACTGATAAAATTAACCGAACTTACTCATTCATCTCTATGGTGTAGGTTACGAAGTCAGAGGAAAATTTATATATCATCCCTTTAGATATAATTTCGGTGAATTCTTTTATTCCAGTACGTAACTGTGGATAAATAACCCTTACACAGGATTCACCACATTCAGAAACAATAGATGAAGCGAATACATCTTTGTGCACAACTTGAGGTTTCTGAATCCATATTGACAAAGCCGCAATAAAACGTGTATCCATTTTATATAGATAAAGACCTAAAGGCTAAAATGTCACAGAGTCTTGAGTCAAAATAATTACATAAATCAAGAAACAAAATAAGATAGAAGTGACTTTTCCAGTAAATGAGAGTAAATAAAAACATTCTAAATTTTGGTTGGCCCTACCGGTCATAAGTTCTCATTAGGATTTCGGGAATTCTCTCTTGAAGCTAGTCATCAATGAGGACTAGATCAATTCAACACGTGACTGAATAAATAATAACGAAGTAGCTAGTAACCATCACCCACAATAAAAACACAAAACACGTACGTTTTCGGGTAATGCTCCACTATCGAGGTACCGATGCAGGAGCTCCTATGCCAAAACAGACCGATCAACTCGGTTCAATCAACGACGAGATAATACAAACAACACCATATAAACTGTGGCCGTCGCATAAGAAGTGGCTATCATGGCTCATTGGGCCAGTGGACAAAGGTCTGGAGTTTGAAGCGATTGATCCCGGGTTTGAGTCTTGGTGGGAATAACATCAGTCACTGAGAAGCAGATACATCCGGCTGACGAGTTCTACATAGGACGAAACGCGCGTCCTGGGTTTCACTGCTAGTCACTATCCACCATTAATATAAAAGTATAATGTTGAAAATAGCTCTAAGCCAATCAATGGCCTAAATATATTGGCACAAACTTTCACATTTTGAACACTATGAACTTTTACTGGGTGGGAGAGCGAAGAAAGTTTCGCATTTGGCCTAATTGTGATACACTTGCACAAAAAGGTACATTTTGCAGGCAGCGTGAGACCGTAAAGCAGGAAACAGCCCAAAAATTTTACAGCCGATTTTTTCTAAGCCCTTGTCTCGACGCATCAGCATGGAATGGTGGTCATTCATAAGAAACATCTTACTTCGTCCAACAGTACGGCTTCGATCCCTGACTCTCCACTAAAGCGTGGGCTCTTTACACTGTGACTGAGTTCTTTTTCGTTTTACAACTACCCAACAGACTTTTTTGACATGGTGGAACTTCAAGGGACAATCCTTTCAGAAAGCATAAGCTCGTTAAGTAATCGCGATAGTTACCCGAGACCACCATATTAAGGTAGCAGCTCTCGAATGATATTATTTATTATCCGACATGAATTTTTAAGTAACGACAAAACACGCTTTATAACTGTTGCGAAAACTGAATAACCCATGTACTATAGATGCAAAATATAAAGTGGAAATACGAAGTCAAAACTCGGTTATCTAAGATCTACAGCTCACCAGACTTTTGTCAAATTACAAAATTTTTATCCAAACGCCTATTAAGCGTCTAGTTTTCTGCATCGCACTTCGCTACATCCTACTCAATCGCACTGAAATATGATCACTGAATGGGGAGGAGATAAAAAACTTTCAGGAGCTCGACTATCGCTGTTAGCATGATAACTGCCTGAAAAAATCAACATAGCACCTCCTACACAGGTGCATCGAATCAAGTTACCATAGTTCACAGTAGTGTACTAAGGTGGATAGAATAAGTGATTGTAAAGTAAGCGAAGTTGTGTGACAGAATGAACAGTTTGAAGATAACAGTTAGTGCAAATATTAAAGCTGTGGAAGATTTCAAAGAGTCAATACATCCGCACCACTGTGACTGGTTTTCAACCATGTCACTAACAGTCCTCAACCACTAATTCGTTTCGTCTCGAGGACCCCGACCAGGAAGTCTACATCTCCCCAAATCGCTCATAACGTCAGTCAGGGACTTGATCAATTGGTACCAGGTCTTGGTCTAATCATCCTCAACTCTCTTCCATCCTAGTCCAACTTGCCCTAGCATGGCACATCGAGGTTGGTGGTCGCTCGGCATCCTCAGTACATATCCAGGCTATCTCAGTCGACTAAGGTAGACAACTTCATTAATCGACTCGCCTGTCTCGTTTAGTACGATTCACCTGACCTTAACATTGCTCACATAGTGGTTTCATCATGCGCGAGCAATGTTACGAAGAAATCTGATCAAAACCTAGTAATCGCTGCGTGTCTTCTACTTTTAATGACCATGTCTCACAGCCGTACAATAGGACAGGGCGGACTGCAGTACAGCATACTTTCCCTTTGATGGATAGTCAGATATCTCGACAGCCGGCGTCATAGAGGACGCAAGTCGGCAAATGCCAAACGGGCCTTCTGTATCCGAGTTGGAAACTCGTCGCCAACTGTTATATATCGCAAATGGATATGATAGTCAAGCTTAACTGACAACTAACTTCATACGCAAGACCCACCGACTCCAACCTGGGACGAATAAAGAATAAAACTGAGCTGGATGAGAGAGTTTATTTCTCAGAGAATAACAATCAATTAACCTAAACACATGTGTATATGTATACACACGGGATATGACCTTGTCCAGAAAATGAGACACTAACATAGTAAAAGTAAGCATTAACTAATCGACAACCTCGCCTGGTTAACTAGTTCACTAGTTACTAGTCGGTCCTAAGCCCGGGTAAAGAGGGAAGGTTGGGCATAGGGCTAGCAACCCTACCCCGTAAAACAAATCCAACCGCAAAAGAAACTTCAAAACACAGACAAAATATAAAAAATGAAAACAAAATTATTCCCCGCTGGAATCGGAGAGGCGAAATGACGCCAGTTGGTGAAAGCCTTCAGGAAACCAATTGGCCGATCTGTCTACTCTTCTCTCCATGAAAGCGAAAGTAAACGTGGGGACATGGAATGTCCGTACGATGTTTGAACCCAGTAAGGCAGCCCAGATTGCAAGGGAGATGAGAAGGTATCACATCGAAGTGCTTGGGATTTGCGAAAGCAGATGGAATGGAAGTGGACTCTCCAAACTGTCAACTGGAGAATCAATAATCTACTCCAGTCACCCAGACGACAACCACGAGCACACTGAGAGAGTGGCTATCATGATGTCCCCAACAGCATCGAAGGCTCTGGTGCAGTGGGAACCAATCTCCTCCACGATCATGACAGCAAGGTTCAACTTGAAAGGAAGGAAGGTCACAATCATACAATGCTACGCACCTACAAATAATGCGGATCAGGAGAAAAAAGAGGAATTCTACACACCACTGCAGTCAACACTGGACAAGACTCCAGTTGGTGACATGAATGCCAAACTGGGAGCGGACAACACAGGAAGAGAATTAACCATGGATCAAGATGCACTCGGTAAAATGAGAATGGAGAATTGTTTGCAGAATTCTGTGCATTCATCGTTTTGGTGATTGGAGGCACTGTGTTCAAGCACAAGGATATCCACAAAGCCACATGGATTTCACCAGACACACTAAAAATCAGATGGACTTTATCTCAATCTCAAGAAAGTGGAGACGCAGCTTACTTGACACAAGATCAGATCAAGAAGAGCAGCAGATATAGGTTCAGACCACTCACTATCTAGTACAAGAAACCTTCCAAATCAAATTGAAAACCTTCAAAGAAGCCGATGATAGACCATAGTTCAAGTTGAACACCCAGAACAGAAACCGAAGGACGAAACTACAAAGGACATCTTCACGTCAGCCAGCCATCAGGACAAAATGGGAGATATCGAACAACATCCCTGAAGAAACCTATGTGGAAGAACACTGGAAGTCCTTGAAAGCTATGTGGAAAGAAACCTGCATAACCGTATTAGGAAAGAAGAAGAAAGAAGATAAGACAAGTGATGGATGTCGACAGACACATGTAAGCTGATAGAGCAGGGAGAGGAGGATGGTGAAGCAGAAGATAAACCAGTGCAAGGATGAACAACGAGAAGAGGAAATGAGTACAATGTATAAAACACTACACTGGACAAAGAAGTGAAGAAGAGTGCACGCAAAGACAAAAGACACTTCCACGACACACTGGCTAGTGGAGCAGAACAGAATAAGGGCTGGTAAGAGAGACCTGACAACATTGTATCTAATAACCAGGTTACTATCTGAGAGGGAAGAGATCAATACAGATGAAACCAATGAAAGATGATGAAGGAAATTTAACTACCAAAGAGAAAGAAAGGAAACAATGGGCTGACCACTTCAAGAAGCTCTTGAATCGACCACCACCTGCACTTCGTCCAGAAATACCACCTGCAGCCCAGCTACAGAGCTACAAGTGAACACAAATCCTCCAACAAAAGTCGAAGTCCTGAATGCCATACAGCTACTGAAATGCGGGGAAGCAGAATGACCAGATGGAACCCCGCCAGAAGCACTGAGAACAGACGCATGGACAACTGCGGACATGCTCACACTACTAATGCAGAAGGTCTGGAAGGAAGGAAAGGTACCTGAAGATTGGCAGAAGGGCTGCCTGGCCAAACTCCCGAAGAAGGAAGACCTAAGTAAGTCGGGTTCGGCGTGCACTAAGAAGACCATCCGGAGACATCATGCGCCAAACCAGTTGCTCGAGTGGAACCCAGATAGGAAACGACGAGTTGGTCGTCCCATCTGAGGGTGACATAAAGGAGATCGTATGCGGAAGAACTGAGAGCTTCTGCGCAACCGTGAAGCCAGGTCTAAAAGACGGCAGAGAAAAGAGTGCACTAGAAACGCGCTACTGAAGCCCTATGTTCCACTAGGAACCCAAAGGACCAGTAATAATAATAATATAACTAATTGTCGAATTACCCTGAAAATGAACTACTGGCCAGGCCGTAACAGGTGGCGTGAAAACGACAATTTAAACAAATGTTTAGATTAATAAACAATGTCTTTTGCTAAAAATAGGGCCTTCCAACAGCAATTAACCCGTTTAGGCTAGTGCAACTGCTCAACTAAGTGAGGTAGTCGATATATTCTACCACCTCACTCCTTATCATTAAACTGGGAGTCGTCGCAGACCAGTCCTGGAGTATCATCTTGCATCCGGGAAATGAGAAACATGTCAAACCTATTCCGATTTCTGCTCAACACTTCCAGAAAACCTTGCATTTTGTCATTGTCTTCATCTAGCAGGACAATATCGTCTGCATACTTCAAGTCAACCAGATGACCTCCAGGGAGTAGGTTAGTCCCTGTGAAGTCACAGATGCCATTAGTACGTCACTAACGAAGTTAAATAAGAACGGTGACAGTGGCGATCTCTTGTCATCAACTAACTTGGAAACTCTCCGTATGCCCTGACGGAGCCATGTGAGTTCGAGTACAGAGCCTTGATCGATGTTATACACTTGCTGTGTACTTCTTTCATACTCAGACGCTGCCACAAAACCTCACGGTCGACTCAGTCAAATTCCACCTTTAAGGCAACAAATATGGCAAGTGTTTGGCGCCTGTAGGTACTTCTATGTTCCAGAACCTGTCGGATGGTAAAAATTTATCACCAGAGTGCACTCTGGTGATTGCCAACGAAATAGTAACGTCAAAAACCATAGCAATATATATTTCTTAGTATTTCATCAAAAAAATCAAACTGGACAGAATATTTCAGAAGTATCATCAAAACCCAAAAGTCATACCCACACATTTTATTTGAAATGTTATGAACTGTAAAAGATGGATAAGTTGATTAGAAGTCACATGCAAATGCAAATCATTCTCAACCTACCGCACCGTTTAAAAATTACTACCACCACGTGAAGGTTCAACCTCCAACATCAGTAGTCCGAGTAGAGGAAACTCATAGTTTTTGAGCTCTGGCTTCTAGATATTGAGGCTCGGTTTTTCTTGTTCGGTTGTACCCCTTCGGTGGTCTCAGAAGTCTCTTGCTTGTAGCTTTGTAGGTAGTGATCATCTATCTGAAGATATTTTACTTGCAAATTACAGATTGGTTTGTTTTCGCGGGGAGGGGGCAACGGAGCTGACGATTAAATCAGTTGACTTTTTAAAGCCCTCGTTTTTGTAGGCGCCTGCAGGTAAGTATTAAGCCGCAATTAGAAAGTGCTGGAAATAAGGTGAGTGGGGAATGAGAAAAAGAAAAAAAGAGATGTTACTGGTTATAATATGGAGAGGGGATGCGTCCTACTGCAGATACCAGGGTTGAGGAACACAGAGGTGGATGAGCATATCTTCAGTTGCTGCCGATAAGTGCTTGGGCTCACGCACTTGTCCAGTAGTCGTTTGAAGGAGTCGACTGATGTAGCTGTAGCCACTTCCTTCGGTACAGTATTCCATAAGGCACATACTCTATGTGAGAAGAGGTCTGGTCTCACTCTCTTCTTTACCCTGCGGCGGGCCATGAGAGTGGGGTCCTCACGGGGTTACCTTGCTGGGGCCGATAATGTTGACTTGTTGGAGTGATCTAGTTAGTGAGTGATCTTGTGGGCTGCTATCAAGTGACTTCGTCTCCTTTGATGGCCCAATGTGAACAGGTTGAGTTGCCTGAGGCGTTGCGCATGTGTTTCGCCTGTTAAACCGACAACCGATCTTGTCGCTCCTCCCTGTACCTTTTCGAAAGTATTTGCATCTCTCTTTAGTAGTGGGAGGGGCTAACCTGTTGAATAAACGCAGGCCTAAAATACCACGAGGAATAACTTTGGGGTTAGCCCTCCGGGCTACCTTCTTAGAAAGTGCATTAAGGCATTCGCCTTTGCTGCCACTCCCTTATAATCGTCTGTAGTATACAGTGTGCCAGAAGGGTTTAGTCCTAGGTCCTGTCCTATGGATACCTTGATGATTGCACACTTGTTGAGAGTGTGCTCGTTTTCATCACCTGCAGGGTGCGAGGGTACATCATCTTACATTCCTTCGGGTTTGAGCTTAGGCCGTTGGCAGCTGACCAGGGCTTCAGTTGCAACAGACCGTTTCGGAGTATCCTAGGATCTTCTTCCCCACTTACTGTCCTCCGTATTTCGATGTCATAAGCGAATAGGAGGATAGATTCTAATGGGAAGGCCATTTGTGAATCGTAAAAGTAGAAGTCCAAGGACCAGTCCTTGTGAAACTCCTACATTTCTCCAGGCTGATCAAACTCTTTATTTTGGCACAGAATTCTTTATCCTCTGGTATGCTGTAAACCATGCTATGAGTGGCTCAGGGATACACGAATTTGCAATTCTGGCGAGCATGGTGTAGTGTGAAACGCTGTCGAAAGCTTCAGCCAAGTCCAGGAGGATAATGTGGACTGGCTGCTTGTTATCTCGTCTAGCTGTCCAGTCATCCCAAAAGGCCATAAAGCTTGGGACACATCACCGTCCTGTTCTGAAGCCACGTCGGGTGGGGTGAACGATGTTGTTTTCGTTCAGGCTGTCCCAAACATCTGCAACCAGGCTTTCCAGTCCCTTGGATGTGATAGGAAGTAATGCCATTGGTCTCCAGTTGCACGTGGTTTTTA